AGTGGACTCCTCGAAACGAACGTCACGGGAGTCAAAGAACCGGTGAGAGGGAGGGTGGTAAAAGGTGAAGTCAGAGGAGTCCTCAGGGAAACCAAGGAAGACACAGGGGACGGCACGAGGCGAGAGCTTGTCCGCGGAGGTGTCGCGGACAAGAGCCAAGCACCCCCAGACACGAAACCGCGACGCAACACCAGGGGACCCTATCCAAAGACTGGTCGGTGAAACCTCTGGTCGAGAGACACGTGGCCAGAGGTTCAGCTGGTGCGCGGCGTACCTGACCGCGTAGGGCCACAGAAAATGGGGGGCACAGGCGTGAGTCAGGGAGGTGCGGGCGATCTCCATGACCAGGCCTATGCGGCGCTCAGCAACCCCATTCTGCTGTGGGGACTCTGGAAGCGTCCAGGACTGACGAATGCCCTGCTCGCGACAGAATCCAGCGAGAATGCCGGAGCGAAACTCACCCCCACGGTCGGAGTGGAGACAGCTGACACGACGACCACGAGTGTCCTCGGTGGTGAGCAACCACCTGATCAGCGTAGAAGTCACCTCAGACTTCTTCGCCAGAGGGAACACTGTGGTGTAGCGGGAGAAGTCGTCAACGACCACCAGAAAGTAACGCTCACGCTCAGGGCCTAGACGAGGGGCTGGGCCCCAGACGTCCAAGTGAAGCGTCTCAAAAGGCTCGGTGGCCGGACGAAGGGAGGAGGAGTGAGGGGTGGCGCGCAGCCTACCCTCGACGCAGGGACGACACGGCGGCGCAGGCGAAGGCGGCAGCGACGGCAAGACACGAGGGAGGCCTAGGACAAGACGCTGACTAGACATAGCGCGCAGACGTGGAAGGGACGGGTGCCCCATCCGGTGGTGCCACAGAACGGTGGGGTGGGCAAGCGACCGGCAGGAGCACGACGCAGCGACTGGAACAGACGTAGGAACCTGACACGACACAGACACCTGGGGGGACGTAGCGACCTGGTGAGACGCGGGGACCCGAACGGGGGGGGGAACCGGGGGCAGTGGCAGTAGGGGGGGCTGCTGGTGCGGCCGCTGGTGCTGCTGCTGCTGCTGCTGCTGCTGCTGCGGCTGCGGCTGCTGCTGCTGCTGCGGCTGCTGCTGCGGCGCACGCGGGCCAGTGTGAAGAGTGTAGAGACCCGAGCCCGGCTCAGCAGTAAAGGTAGCAAGAGGCTGGTAAGAGTCTCCGTCAACACACACCGCAGTCTCTCCAGAAGGCTCAAACCACACACCCACGTGTTGGCTCACGAGGGGTCGCACGCCCACCAAGTTCCGGGAGAACGAGGGGACGTGAAACCCAGTGAGAGACCCGGAGGGAGCAGCAGGACACGGTAAAGTGGTAGTGTGACGTGCAGTGACTGGTCCCGTAGTGGGATCAGCCAACGCTACAGAAACAGGCGCAGGAAGTGGTGTAAGTGTCGTGCTGTCCCGAAAGAAGCAGTGGGAGGCCCCAGAGTCCAGTGTGAACGACAGCGAAGCGTCCTCTGAGGTAGTCGCTGGTCTAGAGTCTACACAAGTACCTACACTAGCAACAGGCAACTGAGCAAGACTAGCACCTAAGCTAACAACACCAGAGTAAACAGAGTCAGAAACACTAGAGTCAACAACAGCATACATAGCATGAGGAGCACTAATCAGATCAACTAACTGCTCAGCAGACATGCCCCACAGAGCGGAGCCGTAGCGCTGAACCAGAGGAAGCCAGTCAGGAGCAGGACCGCCAACCCCGTAGGTCAACCGGACCGTGTCAGTGAGCTGAGCAAAGCACTGACCAGGGGGGTGAAAGCGGCCACAAGGGTGGCCCCGACGAGGACCTGTCTGAACCTGGTAGGGGCAGGGAGGGTAAGCAGCACCGCGCTGGGGCTGACGCAGCCCCGACCCCGGAGCCAGCTGCTGACGCTGCTGCTGCTGAGGCTGCTGGGAGGAAAGGGGCTGCTGCTGCTGCTGAAGGTGCTGCTGACGCTGAGCCTGGTACCACGCCGCTGCTCCACCTAGCGGGGCCGGCAGTACAGGAGGCGACTGACGAGCTCGAGGGTCGCCGCCACCAGCAGGTGCAGTGGAGTCACCAGCCGCTGCACGAGGGGTCTCTCCAGACGCTGCACTCCCACCACCGCCAGTCGCAACAGCACCCCCACTACCTCCGCTACCTCCGCCTCCACCTCCACCGGAACCACCTTTCTTGCCCCCCCTGCCGCGGGACCGCGACGCAGTCGTAACAGCAGCCGCAGTCGCGTCAGTAGCGGCAGTGGCAAGAGAGGCAGTGAAGGTGGGTAACTGCGGGACTGTGCACCCGTGGAAGAGTGGGGGGGACACAGTACCAGAGGCGGCAGCTACCGAACGAAGGTTGCTCTCGACGTCCTTGAGTACAGACTCAAGGACCTCGATAGTCAGCTCACTAGGGTGCTTCAGCAGAAGCGCGTCACGAACGGAGGCAAGGCGGTCAGGGAGGCTAGTGGCGATGAAATAGACAGTAATCGCCATGGGGGGAGGAAGCAGTGCAAGCTGTGCCTCAGTGCAAGCAGGGCGGTAACTAGCGTCGAGCGAGCGGAGGTGAGCGATCAAGTCAGCAGAGCGCTCAAACGAGGCAAGATCAGGAAACAGGAACGGGAGGAAAAGACGGCCGAGAGAGACAGTAGCGGGAGTAGAGTAGCGGGCCTTAATCGCAGTGAGGTACGCAGCAGCGGTGCGAACCTGAGTAAAGTGGACCTCCTCGGACTCAGGGAGGAGGCTGCTGAGTGCGATGCAGGCCGCAGCGTCACGCGACGTCCAAGCCGTCCGGTCAGCGCGCTGACGGGCAAAGCGAGCCGTAGCAGCGTCGTCAGGAGCAGGGCCTAAAGCTGTAGGCTCAGGGGGCTCGGGGAGGTCACCAGTAGCGTGTGACCAGAGGGTCTCGCCCCCCTGGACCTGACTCTCTAACAGACGACGAGCGCGAAGAAGCCAGACGGAAAAGTCAAGGGGTCTACCGTCGGCGTCGAAACGAAGAACTCGCGGAGTCGCCATAGTGAGAACCAACGCGAACGAACAGGCGAGTAACAACCGGGGGGGGAAGAGGACTCAGTCGCAGCGGAAGAGCGGGCTAGGACGACGGGCCAAGACGTAGGGTAGGGCAACGGGCCAGGGCCTAGGGTAGGGCGACGGGCCAGAGCCTAGGGAGGGCGACGGGCCAGGGCCTAGGGAGGGCGACGGGCCAGGGCCTAGGAAGGGCGACGGGCCAGGGCCTAGGGAGGGCGACGCGACGGGGGAAAGGGCGGGAGCGACGCGACGGGGCAGGGCGACGCGACGGGACAGGGCGACGCGACGGGGCAGGGCGGCGCGACGGAGCAGGGCGACGGGACAGGGCAGGGCGACGCGACGGGGTAGGGCGACGCGACGGGACAGGGCGACGGGACAAGGCAGGGCGACGCGACGGGACAGGGCAGGGCGACGCGACGGGACAGGGCGACGCGACGGGACAGGGCGACGGGACAGGGCGACGCGACGGGACAGGGCGACGGGACGGGGGGGGTAACAGGCGGGCGCGACACGACGGGGGGGAACGGGCGCGACGCGACGGGGGGGAACGGGCGCGACTCGACGGGGGGAACGGGCGCGACGCGACGGGGGGAACGGGCGCGACGCGACGGGGGGAACGGGCGCGACGCGACGGGGGGAACAGGCGCGACGCGACGGGGGGGAACAGGCGTGACGCGACGGGGGAGATGGCGCTAGGCTCGGTACTAGGCGCGGTAACTACGAAACTGGTACGAACGAGAGGTAGGATCAGGCTCGGGAGGTACGAACGGAGAACGGAGGAACGGGATCCCACAGGATCCTAACCTAGCTGATACCATGTCAGAATGAGGAATGAGTGTTGCATTGATGTTGGTTGGGGTACATATGACAAACCCTAACTTCTGTACCCCCTAAGACAAACCTCACTACAGGCTACAACATTTAACACCTACATGTGCATACACCGGGAATCGAACCCGAGACCGCTCTGATACCATGTCAGAATCCCAACCACTAGACCATTGGGATAAAAGGGCTTGCTTAAGTAGCAGGTCAGTGCGCCCATAACCCACCAGGCGATCGTGCATGTAACCCTCTCCAGGATCAATCGGACATCCACAGTGCAGATCTACTGACACTTTCTGGGTCTGGAAGTGTGGTGTGGTGGGAAGAAAGCCGATTTGTACATGTGACAAGTGGTGTTAGGGCGGAGTCAGCGCGTTCGTTTCAGTTCATTTCATTTCATTCCGTGCGGCTACTCTTGTTGCGTCGCGGTGCAAAACGGTGAATCTTGATAACCGCTGTGCCAACTACGGCCACAGGCTACCAGCACCAGTCGTGCTGCTGCCACTAGCACCAGTGACATGAGAGTAGACTCGAAATCACTTAGCCTTACCCTAAATCAGCCCGCCGTGAGCAAGAACGAAGGTCGCCAGCACCAGCGACTCAACAACAACCATCTTATTGACCAAATGCCCCATATAACCAGGACACACTCCGATCTGCCCCTCCAAACTGCCCCCCAGGACCCTCTCCAGGATCAATCGGGCATCCACAGTGCTGATCTACCCACTTTCTGGGTCTGGAAGTGTGGTGTGGTGGGAAGAAAGCCGATTTGTACACGTGACAAGTGGTGTTAGGGCGGAGTCAGCGCGTTCGTTTCAGTTCATTTCATTTCATTCCGTGCGGCTACTCTTGTTGCGTCGCGGTTCAAAACGGTGAATCTTGATAACCGCTGTGCCAACTACGGCCACAGGCTACCAGCACCAGTCGTGCTGCTGCCAGTAGCACCAGTGACATGAGAGTAGACTCGAAATCACTTAGCCTTGCCCCAAATCAGCCCGCCGTGAGCAAGAACAAAGGTCGCCAGCACCAGCGACTCAACAACAACCATCTTATTGACCAAATGCCCCATATAACCAGGACACACTCCGATCTGCCCCTCCAAACTGCCCCCCCCCCCCCCCCCCCCCCCCCGCCCCCCGCCCCTTCCCCTCCCCTCACTTGGACTTGCCCCAAATGAGCCCGCCGTGCGCCACAAAGAAAGGCGCCAGCACCAGCGACTCAACAGCCATCAGCTTGATGAGAATATTCAGCGACGGCCCGGATGTATCCTTGAGCAAGTCCCCCACAGTATCCCCGATCACCGCTGCCTTGTGCGCCTCCGACCCCTTGGGTACTCCCGATCACTTAGCCTTGCCCCAAATGAGCCCACCGTGAGCCACGAAGAACGGGGCCAGCACCAGCGATTCAACGGCCATCAGCTTGATAAGAATGTTCAGTGACGGCCCGGATGTATCCTTGAGCGGATCACCCACAGTATCCCCGATCACCGCTGCCTTGTGCGCTTCTGACCCCTTGGGCCCCAGCGACTGCGCGTGCTCTGTCATTCCCGCTTCGATGTATTTCTTCGCGTTGTCCCACGCGCCGCCCGTGTTACTCGCCGACACCGCCATCTGCACCCCGGACACCAACGCCCCTGCCAGGAGCCCTGCCAGCGTTGCCGTCCCGAAGAGAACCCCGGTGATGATCGGTGCGAGGAGCACGAGCGCGCCAGGTGGCAGCATCTCATTGAGCGAGGCCTTGGTGGAGATCTGCACGCACTTGCGGTAGTCGGGGCGGGCGGTGCCCTCCATGAGGCCCGGGATGGTGTCAAACTGCCGCCGCACCTCGTCCACCATCGCTAGCGCCGCCTTGCCCACGCTCTTCATGGTCATGGCACTGAACCAGTACGGCAGCATGGCACCCACTAGCAGGCCAACAAATGTCTGGGGAAAATGAGAGGTGGGCAGGTGGGGAGGGGAGAGGGGAAGGGGGGAATGATGGGGGGAATGGACCCGGTGGTGAGAGCATTGATGGTGTGGGCCTGACCACATAGGTGCTAATGCATAAGCTCTTGCGAGAGGGAACTAGACTGCACGGGTGCGTGGTTGCGTGGACTCTATCGCAATGCTGACCTAGCGTGGACTCTCTAGCAAGGGAGGTGGATGGAAGGGATGAGAACCCAAGCGGGGTTGGTGATGAGGATGTTGGCGACCTGCGCAGCTCACATTACTTGACGGGAACTGAAGCAGTGAATGAAGGGGTGTGTAGCCCTTTGCACCTCAGGGCTGGTGTCCTGTGCACGGGTCACATAGTCATGATGGGAAGCAATGTGTGCCCCTCACGCACCTGCGGGTTGGTGATGAGGATGTTGGTGACCTCTGCGCGGCTCACATACGCTCCAAACAGAGCCAGTGACACCAGCGCTGCTGACCCAATGGCAAAGCCCTGCAGGAAATTGGAGAAGGGGAGGCAGGAGAAGACAGAGGTTTGGCATTGAAAGATAGGTGTGGGGGAGTTTGGAAGGGAGCAGAGAGAGAGGGTGGTGGTACCAAGATGGAAAAGTGCTGTGAAAGGGGAGTGGGGCAGTGGGATGGGGATATGTAGTGAGACTGGGAGGGGGTAACGAGATGAGGGCAAGGAACTACGACTCTCATACACGCACCTTGCCAATAGCAGCAGTGGTGTTCCCAGCAGAGTCCAGCGCATCCGTCCTCTCCCTCGCATCCGCCCCAAGCCCCTCTGTAATGAGAGGGGGTAAGGCACTGTGACTCCCTCCTAGGTATTCACCTTGCCAGTGACTCTGTCCCATACACGCACCTTGCCAATGGCAGCAGTTGTGTTCCCAGCAGAGTCCAGCGCATCAGTCCGCTCCCTCACGTCCGCCCCAAGCCCAGCCATCTCCGCAATCCCCCCGGCATTGTCCGAGATCGGCCCATACGCGTCAATAGCAAGCCCAGTAGCGAGCGTGGAGAGCATGCCCAGGGCGGCCAGGGCGACCCCGTACATGGCGGCGATGGCGTAGCTGATGTAGATGGCGACTGCGATGGCGAAGACGGGAATGATGACGGACTTGTAGCCCAGGGCTAGCCCGAAGATGATGTTCGTGGCTGCCCCCGTGCGGCATGAGTCTGCCACATCTCTTACAGGGCTGTTTGAGGCAGTGGGGATGGGAGGGGCGGGGGGCGAGAGGGAGGGGGAATGGAAGATGGGGGAGGTAAGGGTGGGGCGGTGGGGACGGATGAGGAGTGGGGGTGGGGGAAGGGGGGGAGAGAGTGGGGAGGGAAGGTGGAGAAGGTAACCCTCCTATCTCGAACTGAAACCCTCAACACTCGCGAGTAGGCATGGCTGGTGAAGTACTCAGTGACATAGCCGATCAGCAGCCCGCCCCACAGCTCACGTGTAGAGCATGAGTGGTGACATGTACTCAAGACTCAAACACTCACGAGTAAGCATAGCTGGTGAAGTACTCATGAAATAACTAATGAGCAGCCCGCCCCACAACTCACGTGTAAAGCATGGGTGGGGCCAGTGAGTGAGGCAATGATCAGTTGGCAGTGATGACAAGTTCTCAGGACTAAATACTAACGAGAAGGCATGGCTGGTGAAGTACTCAGTGACATAGCCGATCAGCAGCCCGCCCCACAGCCCCGAGGCCACGCAGAAGAAGATACGAGGGGTACCTTCTCCCCCGCCGCCACACTTGTAACCTCTACCACTCAGACCATACCCTTTGCGCTCATACCCTCAACACTCACGAGTAGGCGTGGCTGGTGAAATACTCGGTGACATATCCAATGAGCAGCCCGCCCCACAGACCCGAGGCCACGCAGAAGAAGATCTGCCAGTTCTGCACCGTCTTGTCCGCCTCCTCCCCCGCCACCACAATGGTGAACGACGACGGCAGTGCGAGATAGCACAGCCCCAGCACGAGCGGCGTCATGAGCACGGTGCTGATGAGCAGCTGTGCCTTGAGCTGCGGCTCCACGTGGCGGGCCTCAGTGACGTGGAACCAGTCGGTGGCAAAGAGCGTGGTGAAGAGGCACACGAGGATGCCCAGCGCGGACACGAGGAGAGGGAAGCACATGGCCGTGAAGTTGTGCGTCTGGCCCAGGGACGAGATGGACGCGATCACGAGGGCTGCGCACGTGGACTCGGCGAACGAGCCGAAGAGGTCCGAGCCCATGCCGGCGATGTCACCAACGTTGTCGCCCACGTTGTCCGCTATGACCTGGGGTTGTAACAAGCAAACGGGAGGAAGGAGTTGGGGGGAGATGGGGTGGGAGGGCAGGGTGGGAAGAGAAGATGAGGAGTGGCGAGTGGAAGGGGCGGGAAGGAGTGAAGTTGTGCGTCTGGCCCAGGGAGGAGATGGACGCGATGACGAGCGACGCGCACTTGGACTCGGCGAAGGATCCAAAGAGGTCCGAGCCCATGCCTGCTATGTCACCTACGTTATCCCCCACGTTGTCTGCAATGACCTGGGGTTGGAACCAGGAGGGGAGAGGAGAGGTGGGAAGGGGGAGGGGGAGGGTGGGAAGAGAATAATGAGTGAAGCGTGCAAGGGGTGGAGCCAAAGAGGTCCGACCCCATGCCTGCTATGTCCCCAACGTTGTCACCCACGTTGTGCGCTATAACCTGCACAGGAAGCACGTGTGGGAAAGCATGGAAGGGGGGGGATGGAGGGGGGACGTTGGATGCCCAAAATTCTTTCTTCCTCATGCCAGTTTGCAGCTTGTTTTACGAAGGCCGTTCTTTCCCACCTCCTACAAGACATGTCTTCTAGAGCCTCAAAACACCCACCCACCAGGGGTACACCGCATCCACTCACAGCTGGGTTCCTCGGGTCGTCTTCCGGAATGTTCCGCTCCACCTTCCCCACCAAATCCGCGCCCACGTCCGCCGCTTTCGTGTAGATCCCCCCGCCCACGCGCCCGAAGAGCGCGACGCTGGAGCCGCCGAGCCCGTACCCCGTGATGGTCTCAAAGAGCGACGCCCAGTCGTTGCCGTAGTAGAGACGGAAGAGCACGATGGTGATGAACAGCACGATCAGCCCGTTGGCTGCCAGCAGGAAGCCCATCACTGCGCCTGAGCGGAATGCTACGACAAAGGCTGGGCCGATTCCGCGCCGCGCCTCCACTGTCGTGCGCGCATTGGCGTCTGCGGGAGGAGGACGGGCGTTTGGGAAGGGAGGGAACGAGTGGGCGGTAAAGTGGGAGCTCAAGTGGAGGGCTGAGAAGCACGATGGTGTTGGCCTAGAAGAGAGAGGGAATGACGGAAAGTGACGTACACGTGGCGATCTCCATTCCCAGGTATCTGGAGAGAGTGGACGTGAGCGCGCCGAGAATAAACGCGACGGTGGTGAAGAATGCGTTGGCGAGCGAGGGAACCCCGAAGTGGAGACAGAGAGAGAAAGAGAAAAGAATTAGGTGAAATTACGTACATGTGGCAATCTTCATCCCCAGGTATCCGGAGAGCGTCGAGGTGAGCGCGCCGAGAATGAACGCGACGGTGGTGAAGAATGCGTTGGCGAGCGAGGGCGCGCAGAGCTGCGAGGGGTTGTCCGGGCAGGGCTGCCAGGACGTGCTGAAGGAGTTGACGGAGCCGAGGAAGAGGAAGACGAGGACGCTGAAGAACGCCATGAATGCCGCAAGGTACTTGTACTCCGTTGTTAGGAACGACGTCGCTCCTGCGGGAATGAGGAGGGAGGCGGAACAGGGTGGGGACGGGCAGCGAGGTGGGTGGGAAACACTGGAAGAACGCTGCGAGCGATGTCAGGTACCAAACGCTGGAGACACAAACATCATCAGGACTAGAATAAGGGTGGAAGTTTTGGGTGGAGAGAGGGGAAGGAGACGGATGGCATGGGAGAATGATGCGAATGAACGTGGATAAGCGGCACGGAGAGACCGCATGGATGAAACGCGGGGATGTAACGTGTCGATGAAACGCATGAAATGTCGCAAATCCGGCGTTGATGAGCGCCATGAGCGGACTGGCTACAAAGAATGGTGGTGACTATTGCGCTTCGTTCAATGCGGTTTGCAAAATGGGCACTAGCCGACACGTACACGCGAATTCTGTTTTCGTATTCTACATAAGGAAATGCTGGAAGTGACATGTTTTATAGCGTCATGCAACACCCAGCTAAATGACCTGGCAATACCACGGAGGATAAGAGGCTGTGTAGCGTTACGTTAATGGCCTTCCACACGGAGCAGTAAACTGCGACCTTTGCTGACAAAAAGTCATGAGACATTCACACCTATTCGGCCTTAAAAATGTCCTATGCACCGGCTGACCCGTACGGACGAGGAGCACCGCAGGAGCAAGTCCAGCGTCATAGACATTTACACAGCCGTACGAACATATTGAAACGTACCTAATCTCTCCGGACGTACGCACCTGTTGAAATGGCATATTGAATCTCCGCGATCTGCTGATCCACGTTATCCGCTTGTCCATCCTCCAAGCCATACACGCTCAGCGGCGCTGTTATCTTCACCCTGCTTACGACGCCCCATTGGTAGAGAGCGAATGCTATGCCTAGAGCCGCCGACAATGGAATAAAGATGTCGACGAACGTCTCGCCTAATGTGGTCTCCATGTTCCACGTCTCTGCGATTACTCCAGTAATCGCCTCTGACATGAATAATGCTGAGCGAGTCGCATATAAGTAAGCCCTGCAATTTCCTAAGTGACAGAAGACCACAATAAACTGGCTTCTATGCCTGGCTTGGATTAGCCAGCCTGTTGAGCAAAGAACAAGTGTGCTAGGGGAGAGCAATAATTGCAAGTCTGGCAGCTCATTTGTGAGAATCTTGATGGCCTTGTTTGGTTGGTCAAAGAAAGGCGCAAAAAGCGGAATCTGAGCTCACCAGACCACTCTACCTTGCACAGAAACGCACGATACCGCACTTTCCCACACTAAAAAAATTGGAAAACACACTGAACCTTTTGGGATGAAGTGATATCGAAGATCCATCAGAACGGAGATTTGACGGGGCACGGCACCTCAATCCCACCCACCATCGGATCAAGTTTATTGGACGGCTGGATGTGCCTCATCTTAGCTGTATAGATCTGCTGTCCGAAGCAGGAACCTGGAGCTGACCGTGCCGTCAAATCTGTGACCACCTGAACTGACCTCACCTGAGCCCCACATCAGGAGTCCGCTGGATTGACGGAGGGCAGACCCAGGCATTCAGGAGCTCACGGTTTGACCAAGCAGTGCATTGGTGTATATCTAAATATCTCTGATATACACGTAATAGCTTCTACTCCTCTTTATTGTGCAGACATCCTTTCCTGCATACATATATTGCATTAATATATATTATACAAGTCTCATAATTTACATAATGCCTGATCACATGATAAAAGAGCACATAATAATCATATATTGTTGAATAGCAGTTAGCATTGTGTGTGGAGGATATACTTTACCAGCTATACCCCATAAGGGATGTTCTTATGGACACTTTGACAATCTGCGGTGGAGCAGATCTCCGTAATTTGTGGAGAAGCTGACTTCCATTTCTGTTCTTATTGGTCGAATTCCCTGAATTTTGCTAGTTCTTCATGCGCGCCGCTGAGTTTGCTGAATTTCCGTCAACGTCTGTCAAACTGATCAGCAAAGGGGCAGGTCAGCCCCAGTAATGTTGGCGGCGACAGGCTTGTGCGACATGTCCTGGTGCTGATTTCGGCGCCGCGAACCTTGGGGAGCATTCTCTCTCCAAAGCTTCAGTGCCACGTCGTTGCTGAGCCTTTCGCTTTACAGCACGTGTACTACCACGTGGAAAATCCGCCCCTTCTCGACGCTGATGGTCACTCATCTGCCAAGCCCAGCTGGAACAGAAACCCCCTCCCATCAGCGACAGCCCCTCCCTGCGACAACAGCATCCTGCGAAGTGCAAGTGTGACCACGAACGCAACGATTGGTTTCATATGCTGTCGCAATGAAATCGTGCGACTTCTTGATTAATCGCATCCGTCGAATCCCCAGGCGACAATGCCGTGGTGCATCTGTGGTTCATCCCTTCGCCCAGATGCGGTCCCTCCTCCCGCATCGGCATTCCCCGTCATAAATCAAATTCAGCCGCAGAAAGATATCTGGAATTCATACTTCAGTTTCAGCTCTCGTTCTCGTGAAGTGCTTGAAGCACCTTGGCAAAGTTGCATCTTGATCCTTTTCAGCTGAAAGATTCGTTTAAGGAAACCATTGGAGTGGCTGGATCCCAGCCACTACGGGTTTAGAAGCCTCCAACTGGTGAAATCCTTACGTAAACGAGTAATCATGAAGCTCCTACTTTTCATCACGGTGATCGGGTTTCTCTCCCTCCCAACACTCGCGCTGGAAAGCTCATTCTCGTCAGAAGCGATTCTCACCAGGCGCGGGCAGCAGGACAACTACATCCGGCCACCGCATCAGTTCACGGACCGGCCAGTCGTCGGCGTGCTCACTCTACCGATCACCGTTCCGTCGCAGCGGAAGATCGGCGTGTCGTCGTTCGCCACGTCGTACCAGCGATGGATCGAGGCTGGCGGCGCGCGCGTGGTGCCGATCTTCTACGACTCGACCAAGGAGGAGCTCGACTTCATCCTCAATAGGTGAGATCAAGTGAACGTTGCTTGAGTCATCTCCGCTGATGAATATTAATTCTTCCCGGGTACTTGCTAGACCGCTCTCTAGGACTTCTAACTCATCAACCGCTTTCACGGATCAAAGCGATCGCAATCGCATATGCTGGCATCGACCAATGTGTTAGTCATAATCAGTAACGTGTCAAACTGATCCGTCAACAAAGAAGGAAGAGTTTATAAGATTTCCGTCACATTCTCCTCGCCTCACAGCTGCCTCAATTCCCGATGCGTGGGTGCGTGCGTGCGTGCGTGGTTCAGAATCAACGGCGTGTTCTGGACGGGAGGGCTGGTGGACTTCAATCCGACGGAGGAGGATCCCGAGGGCTCCAAATACCTGGCGACGACGGAGTACGTGTGGAAGCACGTCGTCAAGGAGAACAGCAACGGCAACTACTACCCGCTCTGGGGCACTTGCCTCGGCTTCGAGCGCATGTTCCAGGTCCGTGCGATGTTCCGGGTCAGTGCGACGTTCCGGGTCAGTGCGACATTCCGGGTCAGTGCGACGTTCCGGGTCAGTGCGACGTTCCGGGTCAGTGCGACGTTCCGGGTCAGTGCGACGTTCCGGGTCAGTGCGACGTTCCGGGTCAGTGCGACGTTCCGGGTCAGTGCGACGTTCCGGGTCAGTGCGACGTTCCGGGTCAGTGCGATTTTCCGGGTCAGTGCGATTTTCCGGGTCAGTGCGATTTTCCGGGTCAGTGCGATTTTCCGGGTCAGTGCGATTTTCCGGGTCAGTGCGATTTTCCGGGTCAGTGCGATTTTCCGGGTCAGTGCGATTTTCCGGGTCATTGCGATGTTCCAGGTCACTGCGATGTTCCAGGTCACTGCGATGTTCCAGGTTTGTGGGATGTTACGAGTCAGTGCGACGTTTGACAAACAACAGCTACATTGGCTTGCGTGCTCCAGTAACCGTAATGGACGAGGATTTCAACTGATATCGAGATTCCATCCCTCCCATGTCCCCCATTCGTTCCCGACTTCGCAGCTGTTCGCCAACGACGTGAACGGGACATGGATTCGCGAAGTCGACGCGGAGAATTTCGCCATCAACCTCGGGTTCACCGCGGACGGGTGGCTGTCGCGACTCTTCGGCGGGATGAGCTACGAGCTCTTCAAGCAGGTCGCGTCGCCCCTCGGGGACCTCGCGTTCAACAACCACGGGCTGGGGGTACATCCCGACGACTTTCGCGCGTCGCCAGCGCACGAGGTGTTTCGCATTCTGTCCGTTGACGAGGATCGCAACGGCACGCAGTTCGTGTCGACGGTGGAGGGCAGGCATTTCCCGTTCTACGGGTCGCAGTGGCATCCCGAGAAGGCTCCCTGGGAGTGGAACCCGAAACACGAGATCGCCCATAACGAGGTGAGAGGCCTGATCACACCCTAGAAGATGAAAAAGCTCAACCTCACTCCATTTCCTAACCCCCTGTCCTCTTTTGCCTCGTCCTTTTCTCTGTCCTTCTCCCATTTTCCCTGTCCTCGTCCCATTATCCTTATTCCCAACATCACTTAGTGGAACCCAGAACCTTCCTTGTACCTTTGTGACTTTACACGGCAGAGGAATCACTGAATCTCTCACGGCAAGGCCCTCCCACGTCTGCCGCCTATGCTGCACATGTCTATATGACCCGCATCTAACGTACTCCTCACGCTCCTTCCTTTCCCTCTTCCCTCCTCTCCCGACCTCTCTTCTCCCACTTCTCCTCTGGTTGTCTCACAGTGGGCTGGAACATTCTCCAACTATCTCGGGCGTTACTTTGTAACCGAGTGCAAGTACAACAAGAACCAGTTCGAAAGCGAGTACGAACTCTCCAAGTACCTCGTTGAAAACTGGCCTGCCCGCCCCACGGGTAAATTCCACAAGATATTCAGCGCGTACTCGCAAATCACCTTCTTCCCATCGCACAAGCCCGTGTGGGTGCAGAGGGTAGAGGCGTTGGAAGCCAATGGGATTACAGTGAGCGAGGAGCAAGCTTCCGAGATTATGATGGTGGTAGATATGTGATGGTGATTGATTGGATGTCGATGCCTCTAGGGGCGCCTCAAAAGTGCAGGGCGCTACAGAGAGCGAGGAGCAAGCAGCCGAGATTATGATGGTGGTAGCCATGTGACGGTGATTGGATGCTGATGCTGAAGCGGATGCTGGTGCTGATGCTGGTGCTTCTTTCCCATTGCAAACGGCTGAGGGAATGGCAGTAGGTTACAGCTTCTCGCCTTCACGGGCAGCAGAGGGGAGGGGAGGAGGGGTGAAAGGGTGGGCTGTACGTTACAAGGAGGCGAAGGAGAGGTATCCAAGTTGCTTCTAGGATTGCAGCTGCAAATGGCAGCTGTCAGGATGCTGAGTATGTCTGCTATGAAAATAGGCAGTATAACTGCAACAGGGTGTCTGATACAGCCAGTTTGTAAGCACCTCACCTACCATTCCCCTTTGTAACAGAGTACACCATAACATCTACCTTATAAATCTACAATGTATGACTCAACTCTTTCTGATAATATGGTCCAGAATATTTGTGAGTCACCCACAGGATGTTTCATGTGTTTAGTGACATCTGTCTAATGACATGGGCAGAAAAGCCACTTTCCAGTTCATGCCTGCACCATGCGCTCTGCATGCACACTGAGAGAGTGGGGCGTGGATGAGTAGCAGGGGAGCAGAGGAAGTTGGGAGCGTTGGCAGGCATCTGATCCGGCACCAAGCGCTCTGCATGTGCACTGAGGGAGTGGAGTGAGGAAGACTAGCAGAGGAGCAGAGGAGGGTGGGAGCGCTGACAAGCATCTGATCCGGCACCATGCGCTCTGCATGCGCACTGGGAGAGTGGAGCGAGGAGGACTAGTATACAAGCATAAAATCCATTACAACAGCCTAGGTGCTGGTTCAACATCACATACTGTAGTACAGTAGCAGTTTCCAAAAAAACAATACGGACCATAGATCTTAACTGACAGCTGAAACTGGAGCGCCTGTTGCCAGCCAATCAAATGCAGCCACGTGCCAGACCAGGCAAGAGAGGAGTTATGGTAAATGGCATGCTGCTAGTGTTGGTGGAAAGGGGTTCGATCGCTGCAAGCTGCTATAACTTGCGGCGAGTGGTTGGGACGAGATGAGGGGTGAGTGAGTGGGAGAGATGAGGAGGTGAGAGGGGAAGGTGAGGGGAGGGCGGCGGAATATGAGGAGTGAGTGAGGGAAAGGTGATGGGAGCCGTGGGTGGATGCGGGGTGGTTAGGTTGTGGGAAGGTAGGTGTGGGGTGAGGGAGATGAGGGGAGATAATGGGGGAGGGGGGTGGGTGGGGGGTGGGGGGGAGAGGGGAGGGGAGGAAAATGTGGGGTAGAAGATTGTAAGCGCGAGATGCTGCAGCAGCTGATATTGCAACTCGGGGGGGGAGGGTTGGGGGGGGGAGAGAAGAGTAGGAAGGTGAATGGGGGGGAGTGCGGAGATAGGGAGGAGAGATGAGGGTGAGTGAAGAGGTGGAGGAAAAATCGGGGAGGGAGAGAGATGGGGGATCAAGGGGCCAGCGGATGGAGATAAGGGGGAAGGAAGTGGAAGAGAAAGCAGGAAAAAGAGGGGAGAGCGGGGGCGATGAGAGGAGAGTGGGGACGACGAGGGGAGAGCAGGAAAATGAGGGGAGAGCCGGGGTCGAGAGAGCAGGGGTCATGAGAGCTGAAGTCATGAGGGGTGCATAACGTTTCTGGGACATTATGGGGGCAGGGGGGAATGAGGGACAAGAGAGAGAGGGGAAGGAGGGGGAAGGAAGGGGGAAGGAGGGGGAAGGAAGGGGGAAGGAAGGGGGAAGGAAGGGGGAAGGAGGGGGACGAACGCGGGGGGATGGGAAGGGGGAAAAATAAGGGGGAAGCGGCCACTCCGCCTGTCACCGCGTTCCGCCAGGTCACGCGCAGCCAGCTTCAGGTCCGCTCGGCGATTTCTTTCAATATCACATTGCAGATCACAGCAGCAAACCACCCTCTCATGTTCCTGAAAAAAGGGTCAGGGGGGAATGAGGGACAAGCGGAAGAGGGGAGGCGGAGGGGAAAGGAGGGGGGAAGGAGGGGGGAACGAAGGGGGAAGGAAGGGGGAGGGAAGGGGGAAGGAAGGGGGAAAGAGCGGGGAAGAAGGGGGGGGGGGGGTGGGGAGGGGGGAAGGAGGGGGAAGGGAGGGGGGAAGGGGTGGGGAGGGAAGGGGGAAGGAGGGGGACGGGAAATAGGCCATTCCGACTGTCAACACGCTCCACCAGGTCACCCTTCTTGTTTGCTTCTAAGGCGCGACGCCTTGACTAGTGCGCCTGGTTAACGCACCTTGGCGTCGTCACCTGCCGACGCTACCGTCCCCTCACTGACGCCTCGGACACCTGACCTTCGCGTCGCGACCGTCGCCACCGTCGCCACCGACGCTATCGTCGCCTTACCTTCGCTACCGTCGCCTAACCTTCGCGACGCTACGGACGCGCTCTCGAGGTCGACGCTACTCGCACCTCCACTTTTCAAGCCTCCAACAAATCGGTGTTATCAATCCGACCGCATACGAACATCTCAAGCGCGCAACTAACAGTACATTCTTAAGATCTGATACTACAATTCAAGGCTCTATACGTTCGAAGCAGCAAACACCGGAGTACGACTTACAGCGCGACTGAAACTAGCTAAGGTGCTAGCAATGACTCGTAGATAGACGACGCGAGGCTGCACGTAATACTGACAATCGCGCTCTGATTCTACCAAACCAAAAACTAGTAAATCACAGGTGAAATAATAAGGTGACGGAAGTAGTAACTTTCGCTGACTCGATCTGGCGGGACTGAGGTAAGTCACACCCAAACTACTAAAACTAGACAATGTTGGTCGGGACAATGAAATTAGGTATGGCAGGTGGGATATTGTGAGGTTCGGGTTGTTGATTCAATGCGATGATGGTTGTGCGAGGGTGACAAAAACGCACGTCATCCCCTATTGGCTCGCGTAAATCACATTGATCACCCCTTATCTTTTCAACTGCCCAGGTCTAGTACGGAACGCGAGATTTGACCCTAGAAAAAAATGCTGAACTTCCCGCGGCACGCACGAACTTCATAACCACGCCAACGCCGTCCCGCACCTCACGCAAAAGTTCATCTAGTTAGAAAAGTGCCACGTCTACAGCCTCCTAAAAAAAAATATAGCCTGCCCTATCCCGACCCTTGTTGCAGATCGGCGCTGCTCAGCAGACCAAACCCACAATGTACGCGCCATGGGTAACCTCGTTAGCACCAGCACAAGGAGAACCAACGTTGTGAATTCAAACAAAACAGAACTTACCAACCTGTGAAGGGAGTGTACAGCTTGGGTGGAACCTGGATGACGTCAGCTCAAAATTTTGGGCCTCGAATGTTACCCCAAGCATTCTCGAAGCGCCGCTCAGAATCTCCCGTCAAGAGAATCCCCTGACATTTCCCAGGCGGGGAGTTTCTGGCCCCACCGCGCAAGCCGTCACAAGCACAGCCGCATGACATGGCACGGCAAAATCGTCACCGTTGCGGCAGCTACTCCACCACCATCCGTCCATCCATTCATATCGCTTCTTTCCCCGCACCGCGCAACCCAGCCGAGTGTCATTCATTCCCGCAATGAACCAGCACAAGACGAACCGCGCCGTGTTGTACCGCACTGCAATCAGATATGTGAGTCTAAAGGGCCATCACATTTGGGTGGACCCCGCGCTGAGACGCATCGCGCGGCGGCCATATACCAAACTGAACAAACGAATTCTTTCATCCAGCAGCAGTCTGCTTTTGCAGGCAACTCCATCGATCAACCCATCCCTTTCTTCAGAACTTACCAAGTCTCATTCTCAACCTTCTTTTCCGATTGATTCCTTCCTGATTTGAATGAAGGATTTTCGAAAAGCTCCAACCCAATGAGCTCGATTCGGACTTCAGGATACAAGCTCCACGGAGCAAATCAACTCAGCTTACCTGAAGCCTCCTGGCTAGTACATGGGGAAGCACGAGGGCATGTGGCAGCGTGAGGTCGAGTAGATTAGATGAGATGGGTGTGGGGTGGGTTGGGTAGATTAGAGTGTCTGAGCGAGCTGCTGCTGCCTTAGTGCCGAACCTTGTACTACTCCAAAAATTCCGCGGCAATCCCTTTACCGCGACATCTAAAAAACCTCCTCCGCAAGTTCAACGGGGCGAGATTATGTCTACGAGACCTTCACGCCATGATTTCTCGCGGCGAGGTCTCCGCTACAATCTCTTCGCGGCGCGATGTTCTCTACGTGATCTTCACGCCAAGATCCTTCACGGCGAAATCATCGCGACGGGGTCTCCGTTCTAAAACTCACCACTGCACGAGCTTCAGTGGCCGGAGTTTCTATGCGGCAAAGTATTCACGCCGAGGTTCCCTGCTGCCGCGATCTCCCTCGAAGTCTCCGAAAGTTGCTCCGATAACGCTCTGATGGCGAGGTTTCCCTTGCGCTCCGACGGCGATGGCGCTCCAACGGCTCCGCGGCATCTCCCGTCGTTCAAGTGAGGTAAGCAGTATTTCCCAACATCTTTCTTGAGCCGATTTTGCTGGTTAAACCTTTGATAAATTTGCAGTTTTTAACTTCTTTCTGCAAATGTTTTATTCTTGACAAGTTCTAACGCATATCCTCGTTCTCTTGCAGGGGACCATCTTGCCGTCGACTGAACCTCTCGCCGTCGTAGTTGCCGAGCTTCGCCGTCGTAATCGCGGAGCTTCGAAGTTGTGGCCGCGGAGCTTTCGCCGCCGACTGGAGCTCTCGCCGTTCCGAGGAGTTCAAGCCCTGGAAGTCTATGAAGGCGCTCCGATGGCGCTCCGATGGCGCTCCGATGGCTCGAGTGGCTGCTGGCGCAACCTCCATCGTCGCTCGATTGGAGGTAAGCTGTTGTTTATAACTTCGTTCTTAAACCGTTTTTGGCCGGTTAGCTCTGAATCAGTCCGCACCTTTCAACTCCTCCTACAAATGCTTTATACTTGATTTTTTCGTCAGACGTGGCTCTACCTCGATCCTCGTTTTCCTGCAGACGACTGGAGCTTTCCCCGCCGACTGGAGCATTCAAGTCAAGAATCCTTGAAGCCTGATTCAAGATCCCCGACTGGAGCTTTTCCCGTCGTGATCGCGGAGGCCGCCGACTGGAGCTTTCCCCTTCGTAATCGCGGAACTTTCACCGCCGACTGGAGCTTTCCCCGTCGTGATGGTGGAACCTTAGCCGCCGACTGTCGTAATCGAGAAACCTTCACCGCCGACTGGAGCTTTTCCCGTCGCAATCGCGGAACCTTAGCCGCCGACTGTCGTAATCGCGGAAATTTCGCCGCCGACTGGAGCTTTCCCCGTCATGATTGCGGAGCTTTCGCTGCCAGGTTCGCCGCCTGCGGAGCTTTCGCATGTGAGAGGACGCCTCGCGGTCGCACTCGCCGGTGGACATGAATGCGCCGATGATAGTGGGGTGAGTTGACTTTCAAGAGCATTTCGTCGATAGATCCTTCTGTTTTATGTCCTTTTCTTTTTCTTTTCCCATTTCTAGTACTAAAGTGTGTCCTTGTCTTCCTGCAGACCTCGCCGACCGTTTCTCCGGCCGCGCAAAAGCTTATACGGACGGCGAGGCCGTTGACGACAAACGATGGCGTTTTTCACGTCGCATGCGGACGGCGACGACATGGCTCGCGTCGCAAACGAACGGCGACGGCTGACGGACCTTCATTCGACGACGGCTGACGGACCAGCAGCGCCGAATCACGTGGGTTGAGGTAACGTGTCTCTCGAAAGCACAGTCCTTCTTGACCGTTTCGTTCTGTTATTCCTTCCTCTCGGCGGTTTCTTAACTGATATTTTTCCTGAATGATTTCTTGCAGGCGCATGGCGCACGGCAGGGCCGCGGGACGAAAACATGGCGACGGCGCACGGCGGGACGAATGGTGAAGTGCCTTCGCACGTCGCAAACGGCGGACGGCGACGGCGAGTCTCACGTCGCAAGCGGATTCTCTGACGGCTGATGCCTCACCAGCAGCGTCTCGCTCTGTATGAGGTAACGTGTTTCCTCGTTTTCATTAAACGCGACATTTCTTCAAGTTTTTTTTTACGAAATTATTCTAACGTGTTCCTCGCTTCCTGCAGAACGGCGACGGCGACGCACGGCTGCGCCGGTGCGTCGCATGGGCCGCGCATTGGCATACGGGTGTATGGCACGTCGCGTGGCAATTCTTCATGCGCACGGCGCACGGCGGATGGCGCACGGCGCACGGCGGATGGCGCACGGCGGATGACGCATGGCGCTTGCGGACGTATGCCGCTTGCTTCCCAGCTCTTTCCCCGGCGCTTCTCCTGGCGGTTCCCCTGGCGGTTCCCCCGGCGGTTCTCCCGGCGCTCCTCCCGGCGCTTCTCCCGGCGCTTCTCTCGTTGGTTCTCCACGTTTTTGTCGCTTCCATTTCTCGTCGTCGCTTTCCATTTTTGGTCTTCTCTCCGCCGTGGTACCGTGATGCCGTTGCTTCGCAATGTGCGCAGTTTCCAAGAAGATTTCAAGGAAGAACCGGCGGGGATGTGGGGGCGAGGGGGGCAGGGGGTGGCGGAGAGGGTGGTGAAGGGCAGCCCCCGCCTGGATACCCTCTTCCGCCGCCCCCTCTCGCTTCCTACTGACCCGTCCGGCGTCAACGTCAACGTCTACGTCAACGTCAACGCCGCCGAGCATTAAAGGGAGTATCTCCCTTAATTGGTAAGTGCCGTCAATTCTGTTTATTTCTTTTGTTTTCAAGAACCTAACGTTCTTCCTATTGTGTTTTGTCCCTAAGTGATGTGCCGCAGGAGCGTGAGAAGGAGGGAGACAGAGCGCGCGTTGGTGCGGTCTATAGCGCGTCTCGCGGGTGCATGGCACGTCGGCGGAGCATTTGGCGTGTCCCGCGGATGTATGGCGTGCGACGGCGCGGCGTTTCGACGGGAATCACCCGCGGCGGATCAGAGGCGACTACGTTGGTGATTTCGTCCTCCTTCTCCTTCGTGTTATTTCTCGCTTTTTCATCGTTTTTTCGTCGTTTTTTTTCGTTTTCTTCTCGTCGTTTTTTCGTTGCTTGTGCCGCGTTTCTCGCTGCCGTGGTACCGTGATGCCGTTGCTTCGCCTTGTGAGCAGTTTCCAACACGGCGGGAGAGGGAGCTCATGGCGCCGGCGGGTCTCGCGGGCGTATGACGCGTTGGCGCGGTGCGGCGTATGGCGCACGGCGGATCAGAGGCGACTACTTGGTGATAGACTCCTCATCCTTCTCCTTCGTGTTTTCCATCGTTTTTTCGTCGTATTTTTTTTTTCGTGTTTTTCCCGTCGTTTGTTCGTTGCATGCGCGTTTCTCTCTGCCGTGGTACCGTGATGCCGTTGCTTCGCCATGATGTGAGCAGTTTCCAACACGGCGGGAGAGGGAGCTCATGGCGCCGGCGGGTCTCGCGGGCGTTTGCCGCGTTTCACGGGTGTACGGCTCGACGGCGCGGCGTTTCGGCGGGATTCGCGGGCGTATGACGCGTTGGCGCGGTGCGGCGTACGGAGCACGGCGGATCAGAGGCGACTACTTGGTGATAGACTCCTCCTCCTCCTTCGTGCTTTTCATCGTTTTTTCGTCGTTTTTTTTTGTTCGTTTTTTCCCGTCGTTTTTTCTTTTGCTTGTGCGTTTCTCTCTGCCGTGGTACCGTGATGCCGTTGCTTCGCCATGTGAGCAGTTTCCAACACGGCGGGAGTGGAAGCCCATGGCGCCGGCGGGTCTCGCGGGCATTTGGCGCGTTTCACGGGTGTATGGCTCGACGGCGCGGTGTTTCGCGGGGAATCGCGGGCATATGGCGCTGTGCACGGCGGATCAGAGGCGACTATGTTGGTGATACTCCCTCCTCCTTCTCTTTCGCGTTTTTTCATCGTTTGTTTCGTCTTGTTTTTCGGGTTTTTCGTCGTTTTTCCGCTGCTTGTGCGTTTCTCTCTACCGTGGTACCGTGATGCCGTTGCTTCGCCATGTGCTCAGTTTCCAAGATACGATCCGCGTTTGGCGGGAATCGTGGGTGTATGGCTCGTCGGCGGGGCGTCTCGCGGGAATCGCTGGCGTATGGCGCGACGGCACGGCGGATGGCGCGTTGTCAGAGCCGACTATTTTGGTGCCATTCCCTCCTCCTCCATCATGTTTCAGTACTTCGCGTTTTTCCGCGCCTTTTCTTTTTCGCGCTTGTTGGTTGTGGCGTTTGTCTCTGCCGTGGTACCGTGCTTCGCCCTGTGCTTCAGTGTCAGAAGCTTTCAAGGAAGAACCGGCGGGGTTGTGGGAGCGAGGGGGGCAGGGGGTGGCGGAGAGGGTGGTGAAGGGCAGCCCCCGCCTGGATACCCTCTTCCGCCGCCCCCTCTCGCTTCCCACTGACCCCTGCCGGAGACAACGTCAACGTCTACGCCGACGTCAACGTCATCAGCAGCGCGGTCCTGGTAATGGTGTCGTCGCTTTTACTGTACTCGTTTTTGTTTTCCGAAATATCTAACGTTTTTTGTCTGTCGTCTGTGGTGCAGAGAGGCCGGGGCGAGCGCGGTGCGTGAGCGCGGAGTTGAAGCGCGGAGCTTGAGCCGGAGATAGGAGCGAGCAACGTGTTTGACTCCCCCCCCCCCCCACCATCCCCCCTCCCCCTGTCTCCGTCCCTTCCGCAGCTTTCGCATCGGCCACCTTCATCTTTGGGACTTTTGGGATTTTTTGGGCTGGTTGGGTTTTTTTGGGTAGAATTTTTGGGACGGTTTTTGGGTTTGGGGGGGTATTTCTGGGCTACTCGCCTCCTCCTCGATTCCCTCCCACCGCTCAACCTGGCAACTTCTGACAACCGAGGAGCTTCTGCTGGAGCTGATTCTTTTTAATCGTAAACTTAACCATCCCTTCCTTTTCAGATTTTTTTTTTCCCGCCCACCCGCCCCTTCCCAAACAGGGTCCCGCACGAATGACCCTCACCTCAACGTGGTGTGCGGGTGTAACGCTAGAGGCATTTGCCTCTAGCGGCCAAGAGGGGTCAAGAAGACGGGCGAGCAGCTTTGGATCTCAAGAACTTCCAAGAACTTCGTGGTTGACGCTTCTAGTCCTTAGCGTGTCAGCTAGGACTTGTACATCTGCTTTACGATATATATGTTTTACGATAACTCAGCGTACTAAGTGTCTGACACGAAACGAAGTTACTTCTTTATAAATGCAGCTAAGACAACAAATCTTTACGATTCAGTAACGCCATTCACGGAACAGCCGAACGATCGTCCAGCTTAGGCGTGAAATGATATTCCTTTTAACTCGCCGCTTCATAACATCGCTTGTCGTCGTGATTACCTTCCCGACGAATTATCGCAGCGGCTTGGTCTCCTCGCTGACGGATGGAGCCAGCACGCGCGGCGTGATCCGCGCTAGCTCGCTGCGGATTAACACGTCGGTTTGTGAGTCAGCGTCGATCAGCGAGAGTATTTCCGATTTCACGCTCTCTAAGCGGTCGCTTTTATGATAGGAGAGAAGAGAGAAGAGGAGAAGACAGCAGATCGTAAGTACGAGGAAGATTGGAAGGATCGAAGCATAAACATGAGCGGTCCGATGTCACAATCACGCCGTAGTCGCCGGTATGACATAGGGAGGGAGGAGCATTAGCAGCAGACTGGAAAGAGAAATGACGGGAAAGTGGGATGTTTTATTCGTCGTGAATAACGCTGCAACGGCCATCATCTGTACAGCCTCCCGTTTCCTTGTCTTTCACGGACCATATGCTGAAGCCTTGCGCAGGTATGGCAGATTCTTACTGTGTGGAAGGTATAGGAAGGGAGCAGAAGCTGTAAGCAGGATGGTTGGTTCATTTCTGACACGCTCTGGGTAAAGACCGTTGGTGAGGAGTGAGGACGTAAGGCTGGTTAAACTGTAAGAGTGGGGGTGTAGGGCTGGTTAAACTCCCTGAGTGAGGATGTAATGCTAGGTATACTCTATGAGTGAGGCTGTAAGGCTGGGTAAGCTGGGTAAGCTCTATGAGTGAGGATGTAAAGCTGGGTATACTCTATGAGTGAGGCTGTAAGGCTGGGTAAATTTTATGAGGATGTCAGGCTGGGTCAACTAAAGTATGATGAAGTAAGGCAAGGTAAACTCTATGACAGAGAGGCTGAGTTATCTCTGAGTGAGCTCTGAGTGATGGACTACGGTCATTGCCAGGAAGAATGATCTGTATGAATTTGTTATGTTGCAGTGCACTTCTAGCTCAGCTGCTTTGTCAATCAGCAACTATCAATGTAATCCCAAGGAACAGCATTTGTGTGTGAAGTTTACAGTAGTTACTGTCAGATGTACTAAAGCATACGATACCATACCAGTGCAAAGCACACGACATTTAGTTTCATGATGTACAGACAGGACAAGCAAAGAGGAGACAAAGGCAAAAAGTTGCGTCCAAGAGAACGCAGCGCAAAGGATACCGTATGATAGCATGCTACACCCAAGCGCGATGTACACACCATAGTAGGTCAAAACTGAGCCATCTCACTGGCTGTAAGCATCTGATCTCTGCATGCGCTCTGCATGCATGCACAGAGAGAGGACTGGTAGGCGGGGGATCCCCACATACTCTCCACGTATCTTCTCATACGCAAGAAGAGACGAGAGCAAAACCTCTCATGCAACAGGACGCAATGCTAAGGTTAGGCTCGCAAGCATGCTACACCCAATGGAGGTGCACACACCATAGGACAAAACTGAGCTGTCTCACTTGCATATCAAAACTGGGCTGAGCTGGACCAAGACTGGGCTGGGCTGGACCACCTCCCAGGTCAAAAGTACTGTAATAGTTTGTATTTTGCCTGGACAAAGAGAAGCCAAGTTGACTTTTGAGTCGACTCAAAAGTCAACGAAGTACTGTAATAGTTTGTATTTGCCCTGGACGAAGAAAAGCCAGGTCAGTATGTACATGATTCATTGTATGGCGACACTTGGTATTTTTGCGGCGGTAAGAGCGGTGCTGGTCGGTTTCACTTGGCAGGCGGATTGAGGATGTGGAGTATGTATGTAGTGGATGAAGGCCCTCACGTGTGCTTCCCCCACCTCCCCCACCACCGCATTCCCCTTATCAGTTGCCACCACGTTCGAGTAGTGGTGGTCTCCGCTTCTGGGATAGCCATCTCAAGGTATCGAGGCGTGTCAATCAGCCTGAATGAAAGGACCCAGCCTCACTTGTCAGGAGGAGGGAGGATGTAGAGTAGATAGTGAATGAAGGCCCTCACATGCGCCTCCCCCACCTCCCCCACCACCGCATCCCCGTCATCAGTTGCAACCACGTTCGAGTAGTGGTGGTCGTCGGGAATAGCCGTGTCAAGGTATCGAGGTGCGTCGATTTGCCACGTGTCCAGAATTGTGGCTGCTCCTGTTGGTATTTCAGTGTCAGCCCGCTTCTCGCCTGCTGCTGTGTCTGCTGCTGTGTCTGCTGCTGCGCCTGCTGCCGCCCCTTCAGCACTTTCAGCCGCCAGTGCTGCTGTTTCTGCTGCTGCTGCTTGTGCTGGTGTGGCAAATGACCTGTAAGAATCAGAATCAGAGTCGGAATAAGAATCTGCGTCACCTGTATTTCTTGATTCTCTCGAGTTCCCTTGAGCCGCCTCAGCAGATGAATCTCGAAGCGCGTCATTTCCCCCCACATGAGATCCTCTTTCCAACTCTTCACCAGGCAGCCGTTGCAAGCTCTCGTCCAGGTCTTGCCAAGCCACTCCCTCCCCTCCACCTTCCCCTCCACCCTCCCCTCTTCCCCTCCTTCCCCCCTCTCCTGTGCGCCCTTCTCCTCTCCTGGTTCCCCCGTGCACGATTCGCTTCAAGAGTGCGTTCACAGCCATGCCCGCTCGATTCGTTCTCGGGCCATTGTACCGATTACACGAGCTCCACCTCACTGCAAACGAGGGGATAGTGCGGAAAACCACCCGGCCTTTTCCGGGCGCAACGGCGGAAATGCCCCAGCGCACAAACTCCCGCAGGTACACCCGGAGGGCTTTAAGAGGCTGCTTGCAGAAAGACGCACCCCAGTAGCCTCCTTCAAAGAGGGTGACGTCAGCAGTGGATGAGATGTTGGGGAACTGAGTCGTCCGATTGGTTGTGGCGCCACGATGACTGCACCCAAACTCCCCATTCCGGTAGATCCCATCAATCCAGTAAAAGTTGATCTTCAGCTCCCTCCCCTCTTCATCCTTTGCGGAATAAAACAGATTATCCCGCCACTTCTTCACTCCCATATCCGCCCGTCCCATGAGCAGATAATACAAGTGCGCTGTGAAATACCGCTGGTGCGAGTCCCCCACAATGCTGATCTCCCGAATGCTCCTCTGCTCCAGAGCAGCAATCCAGCTGCTAGCAGGCAGCTCCTTGTGCGCGCAGAAGAACGGTTCCCAGCGGTACAGACCGTTTCTCATCCTCCACCGACCCTGGACCGAGGCTCCCACGCATGGGTTTCTGGGAAGCTCGGAGTCTGGTTCGGGATAGGCTCGGGATAGGCTCGGGCTGCCTGGGGGAGGGTTTGTCTGTGCTGCTGGCGGTTGGAGCTGAGGAAGGGAGAGGCGGGGTTGCTGAGCGTGTGCGGTGGAGTTGGGTGCAGTGCGGGGCAGAACGGTGAGGGGCCAGGAGACGAGGTCGTGTTGAGCTGTCTTGTTGAGGTGCTGATAGTACAGTGGTGAGAATTGCAGGTTGGCGCAGCCTATGTGCATCGTAGCCCTGCGATGGATCAAGAGGGAGGGGAAGGGGGGGAGGGGGGAGGAAACATGAGGCGGGAAGGTGAGGAGCCAGGAGAATAGGTCGTGTTGAGGTGCAGATAGTAGTGTGGTGAGAAGCGCAGGTTTGCACAGCCTATGTGCATGGTGGCCCTGCGATGGGAGAAGGGGAGAGGAGGAGAGAGAGGTGAGGAGAGGTGAGGTGCGGTGAGAAACGGATGTTGGCACAGCCTACGTGCATAGTGGCCCTGAGAGGGGAGAAGGAGAGAGGTGAGAAAAGGTGGGGAGAGGCGAGGAGGTGTGGTGATGGTGGTGAGATGGAACGGCATGGGGATGTGTGGATGGGCCAGAAATACCACCTCACCAACATCGTGAGGGTGTGTGTATGCAACCCAACGTGAACCATTGCCCTAAAGAGGGACGACATTGGGCGGAGGTGGGGGTGGAAAAGGCTGAACCCAAACATCCCTCCCATTTCCCTTCCACCATTCCCCACCGCACAGCACCGTTTCCGAATCACAGGTATTCCCCGCCATCCCACAGGCGGTACGTCACTTGCATCTCCCTGCAATGCGGGGGGTCAAGGCAGCGCACGTCCCCCGCGCCCAAACCGCCCCTCCAATGGTTCCCCACCGCACAGCACTGTTTTAGACTCACAGGTATTCCCCGCCATCCCACAGGCGGTACGTCATTCTCATCTCCCTGCAGCGCGGGGGGTCAAGGCAGCGCATGTCCCCCTCACTACTCCCCCACCCCCACGCAAACCTCCCACAAAATCGCTCCCCACCACACAGCACCATTTTGAACTCACAAGTACTCTCCTCCATCCCACAGCCGGTACGTCACTCGCATCTCCCTGCAGCGCGGCGGGTCAAGGCATCTCACGTCCCCCGCGCCCATGGCGGGTCCGCGCATGGTAACAGTCACGTCGCGCTTCCACCACCCGCGCTTCCCCGCATGCAGCACCCCCTCCGCCCATCGCGCGGGCGCGCGCACGGACAGGCGGAACGAGCAGCGCTGCCCGCGGATGCACGTGGCGCAGCCGCGCCCGTGAATGGTGACTCCGGGGGGCGAAGGGGAGGAGTAGTCTGCGGTGGGGGAGGGGGAGCGGGGGAGCGGAGGGAGGGGGAGGAGGGGGAGGGGGAGCGGGGGAGCGGGGGGAGGGGGAGGAGCGGAGAAATGGCATGATGCGCGCGCGCGGCGACATGCGCAAGCTCCTCCCGAATGGAGGGAGGCAGCTGTAACGGGGGAACTGCTCCGAGCAAGGCGCGAACACCACTCCGCCATAATGGGTGCGAGCATGGGCGCGGGGGCGAGCATACGCGCGGGCATGGGCGCAGGAATGCTTGCGGGCATGGGCGAGGGGCATGGGCGAGGGGCATGGGCGAGGGGCATGGGCGCGAGCATGGGCGCGAGCATGGGCGCGAGCATGGGCGCGAGCATGGGCGCGAGCATGGGCGCGAGCATGGCCGCGAGCATGGGCGCGAGCATCACTCCGCCTCACCTCCCGACGACGTCCAGCACACGTGCTCCCGCTGCGGCTGCTCCGGCCGTGCGTCATTCTCGCCGCCATTCCCGCCGCCATTCCCGCCGCTGAAATCACCATACAGACCTCCGACCCCCTCCCCCCCACTTAACACCATTCCCAAACTCTCCCCCTCGAATCCCGCGTACCCTCCGCCGCCACCGTACCCCAGGGCTTTCCGCAGATTCCCCATGAGTGAACGTTTCCCCCAATCCTCCCCCCAACCCTTCCCCCATCCCCCCCAGGCGGACCCGCGCAGCGGGTTTTCCCCCGCAGATGCCGCGCCTTCTGCACATGCGATGTCCCCCACTCCGTTAGCAGCCGGGTCCACCCATAATTGCGGAACGGAACGTGCTATAACGAGTATAAGGAGTAACGCGTTGACAGCTAGCAACATGTCGTGAAACCAGTCCTTGCCGTGCGTGCTTTTTTGGCTTCTGCTCAACTCGTTTGAAGAACCTCCCGACTTTGTAGTCACAAACGGGGACAGAGGTTTCGATATTAGGCGAATTATGGGAGAGTACACGCCAATGAAGAAAGAACATATCGACGAGGAAGAGCCTCTGAAGCTGGGAACACGCGAGATGGTATCGGCTGGCGCTTTCAGTTCCTGTGGAACCTCACAAGTCGACGACGAAAGGCCTCTCGAGCTAGGAACGTGCAAGATAACATCGGCTGGAGGATTCAACTTCTGAGGAGCCTCAGATTTCGACGAGGCAGGACCTCTCAAATCGGCGTCGGCTGGTGGTTTCAGGCCGACAAGACTGTCGGTCGCGTCGGCTTCTGAGAGTCTGTCCATGGATCTCGACGCCGAGCCGTTTCGTTCCGTCGACGGATTCGTCCGCTTCGTCCGCTTTCCGTCAACGTTCCGTCAGCACTGTCGTTTCGGCTAAATAGAGAGTGAGAAATGTATCCCTGATAAGAAATAGCAAGTGCTTTAGTTGAATCCTAGGAGGAACCGCAATCTTAAGATTATGGTTTTAGAGGCTGCTTGCAAACGGGAGAGGGCGAGCGAGCTGTTCCACAGCGACCTACATAAACTGACACGAGATACTGGGAACGACACCAGGAAGCGCAACAGGAGATCGATAGACGGCAAGCCACGTTGCCTGTAATCAGTCGCAAAGCCCCGGCACTTATGAACTTAGACGCTCAGAAGCTACCTATTTACAGGGCTGCACGAGCCAGGATCTTCGAACGACCTGCTATGACTGAAACGCGGGCTAATTGTTGTCGAGTAGCTAGTACACAACACTCTCTCTGAGGGCGCATTCCCAAGTTTGCCTACCATCAGAAGTTTGCCCACGCGACTCGAAATGTTGACGTGGCATTAATTTACATTGGAAAGTTCCCCCACACGATTCGAAGTTTGGCCCCCATGAGTCCAACCGGCCATGGTCGCAATTACTGGCCTGTCCGTCGGTGTACGACAATAATGGAGATCGTGCCACGTTTGCTGGGTGTTGGGACTAGTGTTAGACATGCCAGTTTCGCGCACACAGCCGTCACAAATATTCATTTCCTGCCCACGAAACCCATTTCTGCGTTGCTTACTTGATTTTGCCAAGTAAACCCACGTTGACTTGATATGACCATTGTGCCCAAAATTTATGTCAGGCGCAATCGTCAGGCACGGCCGTTTAGGTTTTTGCCTGACGAAGTTCCTCCAACACTTGGGATGCGAGCTGGCGCGTCAATTTCATTGGATATCGGACATGCGACGCTGGCGACATCTGTCGCCCGCCTAAATGAGGTTCGGTGGTTAGAGTGGGAGCGTTCCCACCAAAGGCACCATCATCTTCGGAAAAACGGGCTGGTGGGCAAACTTCGATGGTGGGCAAACTTGAGAATGCGCTGAATCTCGAAGCAAGCAACAAGAGAACTAGCAGAGTGACTCACCGCCGCATAGAGTATTTTCGATGGGAACTTCCCCTACAATTCACGCGTGAGCTGTACAGAGTTTCACATGCTGGCAGTAGAATGTGACGTGAGCAGAATGACCACAGACTAGGCGTGACTCCATCACATTCACAAGTCCCGTGACGAGTCTCTGCGACTCATTGGACCCAGATGTCGGCGGGGATTGTGTCATATCGCAGAGGACTGACCTGTCACTTGCAAGTCCCATTCAACTGACAAAATGACACATCAGTCACGATTCCCTTCTATATGATTCGATATATTGTTGTGGATCAAAATTAGTAAGGCAGATCAATCTAATGTACAGAGGGAAAATATTTTGTTCTCGAACTCCGAGTTACAAACAGCCTCACAGCTGGTTCTACATGCTTTCTTTCGAAAATTTGCGGAGGAGGAAAACGAAGCAGCACTAAATCAAGAACAGAAGTTTGTTCCCTGAATCTGGCCTTCCCAACTCCATGACAGTCCCAGAGGCGTCTAATTTCGACTTACCTTGGGATTGTCTTCGTCATTTCCAGGTGCCCAACGCTCATAGCTTGTTGGCATTCTTCGCTGATTCCGTTGCGCCTTGTACATACAAATCCTGCAAAAGCTGCCGGTAACCTGCCTTTTCTAGGCTTCTTATTGGAGCCTCCCGTCGCACTAGCAGCCAAACGTCCAGCGCCGTTGCTTTTATTGCAATGGCGTTCATAGGAGCAGGACGCGACTGGTGCAGAGTATGTAGATGGCACGAGGAGGATTCACACGCTCTCAACCACGGGACATGTACGCTTCAGGCTCTCCGAACCGAACACATTACTCGTGCGGGTCGCTCGCACTGCATCGCACTGCATCGTACTGCATCGCACTGCACCGTACTGTGCGAGAGCTCGCCGTGTCAAGATGCAGCTCATTCAGCGGCTGTCGCTAGAATCGCTCGCTCTGCGTTGCATGCTAGAGCCACTGCTACTGCATCCTCTGTGCCCAGTCTACATGCATACGGTTTTGGAAGTGCGAGCTCAGCTCTGTAGTACTGTAGTGCTTATGCTGCTCACGTGGAACGATAGTCTAACAGTAAGTACCCCCTTTTTTAGGGTGCAGTCGTACCGTGAAGTGCGACGCGATTCGTCGCTGGACGTGGAGGGGAAAGCAACCAGCCAGCTACAGTTGCGTTTCACCCATCTAGTTGCTCGAATCGCGAATCCCTTCGCCCTGGGCCCTTCTCCCATGGCTCTCTTCCTCACAGAACCCCTCCTCTCTTTCGCTCTACTCTCGCTCCAGTTTTCGCTCCCTCAGTTTCTCGCGCTCTTGGTTCTCTCCCTCTCCCATCTCCCGTCTATCGTCCGTCCGCGGGGGAAGCTTCCATCACCCACCCGCCACCATGATCGCGGATCGCTGTGCATCCCTTCCCCTCTGCTCCACCCCACGTTACGAAACGCGCCGCTTCACTCATCGACCAGGTTCTTACTACTCTTCACTTCACTCCACAACCTCTACAGTACAACAGTACGCTTTCGGGAAAATGGTAAAATACAACTTTTATACTGTAGCGACTCCTGCCGTGCCGGATCCTAGAGCATGGCGTGCAGCATTTCAGCCCCGTCCTATGCGCAGTTGCTTCTCTTTTTATCTCAGTCTCCCACCCCAGTCGCTGCTCCTCCTACCCTTGGGGAGGTCCGTCCCAAAAGTTCGGAGACAGTTAAAGACATTTTGAGTCTTTTCCTTTGAGACGCTTTGAAGACGTTTCACACGGGTTGGAATAATGCATAGTCGGCTTGAGACGGCTTGAGAGACGCTTTGAAGACGTTTCACAACAGTTGGAAATTGAAATGGTGCATAGTCGGCTTGAGACGGCTTGAGAGAACCAGAAGTTACTCTCATTAACTAAAGAGCAGGTCCCTCCCTTGTCATTAAACAGCAGCTGGCCTTTCTCTCGCCTTTTCTGTCCACTCGTCACGTCCCTTCAGTCCCCTCTACCTCGAGAACATCTCGTTCTCTCCGCCGTCCGTTACAGACGGTCCCGGTATAAGATCATCCACGCCGCCGTATGCGAGCTGCTCGTATCAAAACCCTGCTACCTCCCTGTCAAGCCTCAGCTTTCGTCAGCTGCATTGCCCAGTCGGTGTCTCAGATCCACCCACCTATGAAGCAGCAGCTCTGAGCACTTGCGAATAGTATTGAAGCCTCTCACATCTGAACCGTGCTGCCACGCGCACGTAGTTGCCGTTGAAAGCCATGGCGGCTCCATTTCATCGATCCTACTCCGACGAGAATCGCATTGTTTCGCCGACCACTGCACCGCTGACACGTGGAGCATCAGTAGGAGGAGCGGTCGGAGGAGCAGGAGCAGCAGTCCCAGCAGGCGCCGTTGCACCAGTGCGTGTAGCTCATGGGCCTGCCTATCCCACTCCGGGCGGGTATGCTACTAACGGGGATGGGAACTCTGGGGGTTCGCGGGGGTCTCTGGGGAGCGGAAGCGGCAGCACCAGGTCGATTTCAAGATCCAATAGCGGGGCAGTCGTTAACGCGGATGCAATGGGTAATACTAGTACTAACGGAGGGTCGGGGAGCGGGAGGAGGCTAAGGCGCGTGGAGAGCGGGGAGGGGAGCGGGAAGCAGCACTGGTCCGGTACAAGCAGCAGCGCCCTGTCTGCTTATAACGAAACGCCTCGCGCCTGGGGGAGCCACATGTCCGGCAATGGTGACAATAGCGGGGGCGCGATTCTCGAGCTAGGTGACTATAACGACCAGGTCCCCCCATCCCCGTTCCCAGAACCTATCAAGGAAGAAGAAGCTTCCGTGGAAGGCAGGAATGTTCCTATGCCGGATGTGACTCTAGAGGAGGAGCTGTCAGAGTCACTAATGCCGCTCAAGTGGGTGTTCTTCCCGGAAGCAGATCCAGTTCAGCAGTTTCGCGGAAAGCCGTGGCGGGAGAAGATCTGGGTGTTTCTCAAGGGCGTGTTCCCGATCCTCGCGTGGCTGCCTGAGTACGACTGGCGGTACTACCTGCTGGGGGACATTATCGGAGGCGTGTCCATCGCTGTCATGTCCGTGCCCCAGGTGAGCCATGAGCAATGCGAGGTTGGTTGTGAGTGGTGGGCGGCACACGGGAACTGGAGTCAGGATGCACAGGTGAGCAAGGATACACAGGTGAGCAAGGATACACAGGTGAGCAAGGATACATTCTACGTCAACTCAATTCACCTCGACTGGCGGTACTACCTGCTTGGTGACATTATTGGAGGAGTTTCCATCGCCGTTATGTCCGTCCCCCAGGTGAGCCGTGTGCTGTGTGCTGTGCGCTGTGGGTGGTTAGTTGTGAGCTGTGCTCTGTGCGCTGCTGGTGGTGGCCGATGAGCGATGTGTGGCGGCGGGCTGTGAGTGGTGACCGTTGCATTGCTGCATGGCGGCATGGCGATGTGTTGCGATGTGTGGTCGCATGGCATGGCATGGCCCCTCGTTGTGCGGAGGGACCTTCATTCATCCTCTCCGGGTCTTCCCACCCGTGCTCTCATCCTGCCTCTCCTTGCCTCACTGTGGATCTCCTTACCTCACTGTGGATCTCCTTGCCTCACTGTGGATCTCCTTGCCTCACTGTGGATCTCCTTGCCTCACTGTGGATCTCCTTGCCTCACTGTGGATCTCCTTGCCTCACTGTGGATCTCCTTGCCTCACTGTGGATATCCTTGCCTCACTGTGGATCTCCTTGCCTCACTGTGGATCTCCTTGCCTCTCTGTGGATCTCCTTGCCTCACTGTGGATCTCCTTGCCTCTCACGCCTGCTCTTGTAACTCCTCCTCCCTTTCTTCTCCGCGCCCTCCCTCCCTCTCTTCCCTCGCTCGTCCCTACCAGGACGTCTCATACGCCAAGTACGCCAACATGCCTGCCGAGTTCGCTCTCCGTGAGTTTCCCCCTATCTCCTCTCCCATCCCCTCTCTCCATCCTCATCCTCTCCCCTCATCCTCTCCCCTCATCCTCTCCCCTCATCCTTTCTCCTCATCCTCTTCCTCCCTATCCTCGTCCACCTCGTGAACGCACCACATCAGTCGTCTCTTACCTTCTCGCCAGGGCTCTGCATGTCCAATAGATCCCCTCTCCTTTTCCTCCTTCCCCTCTCCCTCCCTATACCCTCCCCCACCAGGCACCAGTTTCATCCCGCCGCTGCTCTACGCCATACAGGGCTCCTCCAAGCACCTCGTCGTCGCGCCCCTGTCAGTCCCCCTTCTCCCCTCTGCTCCCCTCCCCCCTTCCCTTTCCCCCCCCACCAGGCACCAGTTTCATCCCGCCGCTGCTCTACGCCATACAGGGCTCGTCCAAGCATCTCGTCATAGCGCCCGTGTCAGTCATCTCGCAGCTGCTCGGCACGTCCGTCAGCGCTCTCGCCAACCCCGCCACCGACCCGGCGCTCTACACCAGCCTCGTTGTCACCGCCACCTTCTTCTGCGGCCTCTTCCAACTCATCATGGGGCTGTGCAGGTCAGTGGAAGGACTGATGAGTGCGACTGGGCTTGTGCTTCTGCTCATCGCGGCCGTGAGCGCTCTACACCAGCCTCGTTGTCACTGCGACGTTTTTCTGCGGCCTCTTCCAACTCATCATGGGGCTCTGCAGGTGAGAGAAGGGCGTGACAGTGTCTCATCAGTGTGCTGGGCGTGTCCGTGACACTACTAGGCAATTTTCCTGCTACATTCAGCACGGCCCTGAGCGCTCTACACCAGCCTCGCCGTCACCGCCACCTTCTTCTGCGGCCTCTTTCAGGTCATCATGGGGCTGTGCAGGTGAGAGGAGGGACTGATGAGTGTGCTGGGCTTGCCAGTGTCAGTGTGCTGGGCTCTTGAGTGCAACTGGGCTTGTCTCGCAGCTGCTCGGCACCTCCCTCAGCCCACTGGCCGACCCGGCTACGCAAACTGCGCTCTATACAAGCCAGCCTCGCCGTCACTGCGACTTTCTTCTTCGGCCTCTTCCAACTCATCATGGGGCTCTGCAGGTGAGCGGACGGAGGGGAATGAGGTACTTGGGACAGGCCTTGATGTCTCTCAGCTGCTCGGCACCTCCCTCAGTGCGCTCGCCGACCCGACCCGGCTACCCAAACTGCGCTCTACACCAACCTGGCGGTTACTGCTACCTTACTCTGCAGCCTCTTTCAGCTCATCATGGGGCTGTGCAGGTGAGCGGAGGGGCTTACGAATGTGCTGTGCTTGTGAGTGCTTCTGGGCTCGTGCTGCTGCTCGGCACCTCTCTCCCTCAGCGCGCTGGCCGACCCGACCCGGCTACCCAAACTGCGCTCTACACCAGCCTCGCCGTCACCCCCACCTTCTTCTGTGGCCTCTTCCAATTCATCATGGGGCTCTGCCGGGGAGCGCAAGGGCTTATCAGCCAACCATCTTGGGGTTCCTGTCGGGCGGCCCTCTCACCAGCTCCCTCACCTCTCTTGAATTCTTCCCTCTCTCCCTCTCCTGAAAGCCTCTCTGTCTCTCCCCCATTCCCTCCCAACAGATTCGGGTTCCTGGTGGATTTCCTGAACCAGCCAACCATCGTGGGGTTCCTGTCAGGCTGTTCCCTCACCATCGCCATCCAGCAGCTGAATCTCTTCTCTCTCGAACGCCTGTCTTTCACTCCCATTTTCTGTTTTGCCAGGTTCGGATTTCTGGTGGACTTCCTGAACCAGCCAACCATCGTGGGGTTCCTGTCGGGGTGTTCCCTCACCATAGCCATCCAGCAGCTGAAGCTCATCCTGGGGTACAAGGACTTCACACTCAGCACCAGCATCGTCAACATCATTGCTGCCATAGTGCAGTACAGCTACCAGGTGGGTGCAGTGCGGTGCAGTGTGGTGCTGCGTGGTGCTGTGTGGTGCTGTGCGGTGCCTGCTGACCATAGCCTCCAGCAGCTGAAGCTCATCCTGGGGTACAAGGACTTCACGCTCAGCACGAGCATCGTCAACATCATCGCTGCCATCGTGCAATACAGCTACGAGGTGGGTGCAGTGCGGTGGTGCTAGGTGCTGCTTGGAGATGTGCGGTGCTGTGCTTTGTGCGTTCACCATTGCACTGCAGCAGCAGCTGAAGCTCATCCTGGGGTACAAGGACTTCATGCTCAGCACCAGCATCGTCAGCATCATTGCTGCCATCGTACAATACAGCTATGAGGTGGGTGCGGTGCGGTGCGGTGCTGTGCAGTGCTCGCTGACGATCGTCAACATCATCGTTCGTGCAATACGGCTACCAGGTTAGTGGTGTTGGGTGGAATTAAAGGCCAGGACGCATGTGTATGTATGAGCATCAGGAACATCGCGCGGACCTCTGTTGCTGTGCAAGCACGCCCGTGCCTACAAGAATCTCGGATCTCCCAGTGTTACATCCTTCTCATTGCCATTGCCTGCCATTCCCAATCCCACGGCCATGCCCATCCCCATCCCCATGCCCATGCCCATGCCCATGCCCATGCCCATCCCCATTCCTGCAGTTCCAGTGGAAGGCGTTTGTCATGGGCGTGTCCTTCTTCCCCTTCCCTGTATCTCCTCGTTTCCTCCCCTCTCTCTCGCCTACCTCTCCTGCCTAAACCCATGCCCTTCTATTCCCCTTGCCATGCCCATGCCCATCCCCATGCGTGCAGTTCCAGTGGAAGGCATTCGTCATGGGCATATCCTTCTTCCTCTACCTCTCCACAGTGCGCCTGCTGGTACGCACTTCCCCCTCTCCCCCTTCCCCCTCTCCCCTTCCCCCTCTCCCCCTTTCCCCTCTCCCCCTTCCCTCTCTCACTCTCTCGTAAACCTTGCATTGACGTAGCACCCGCTGGCATGGGCATATCCTTCTTCCTCTACCTCTCCACAGTGCGCCTCCTGCTACGCACTTCCTGCCCCTCCTCCCTTCCCGAGTCCCCCTGTGGGAGTTGGGGTGACATAGAATAGAAACACTGTCATGGCATGGGCATGTCCTCTCTACATCCACCTCTCCACAGTGCGCCTGCTGGTACGCACTGCACCCCCTGTCCCTGCCATCCTCCTGAGAGTACTGAGGTGACATAGTCGCACTGTCATGGCATGGGCATGTCCTCTCTACCTCCACCTCTCCACACTGCGCCTGCTGGTATGCACTGCCTGCCCGTTCTCCCTCCCCTTGTGAGAACTGCAGTGACATAGATACACTGTTATTGGCATGTCCTCTCTACCTCCACCTCTCCACAGTGCGCCTGCTGGTACGCACTGCACCCCCTGTCCCTGCCATCCTCCTGAGAGTACTGAGGTGACGTAGTCGCACTGTCATGGCATGGGCATGTCCTCTCTACCTCCACCTCTCCACACTGCGCCTGCTGGTATGCACTGCCTGCCCGTTCTCCCTCCCCTTGTGAGAACTGCAGTGACATAGATACACTGTTATTGGCATGTCCTCTCTACCTCCACCTCTCCACACTGCGCCTGCTGGTACGCACCCCCCGCCCCTCCCCTCTTTTTCCTCTCACCCCCTGGTAAGCCTTGGGTTCACATAAAAGCACTGACACAGGCATGCATGTCCTTCCTCCACCTCTCCTCCACCTCTCCTCCACCTCTCCTCCGTGCACCTGCTGGTATGCATCCTTGCCAACCCACCCTCTTCCTTTCCCTCCCGCTTCTCCCTTCCCCCTCTCACCCTATCACCCCACCACCCCAACTCACCACAGGTGTATCTGAAGCCAAAGAACAAGGTGTTTTACTACCTCAACGCGCTCGGCCCGCTCACGCCCAGTGCTCAGTCCCTTTGAGGCTCAATTTCACCCCTCCACCCCACCCCACCCCTCCGCCCCACCCTTCCACCCCACCACCCCACAGGTGTACCTGAAACCCAAGAACAAGGTGTTTTACTACCTCAACGCGCTCGGCCCGCTCACGCCCAGTGCTCAGTCCCTTTGAGGCTCAATTTCACCCCTCCACCCCACCCCACCCCTCCGCCCCACCCTTCCACCCCACCACCCCACAGGTGTACCTGAAACCCAAGAACAAGGTGTTTTACTACCTCAACGCGCTCGGCCCGCTCACGCCCAGTGCTCAGTCCCTTTGAGGCTCAATTTCACCCCTCCACCCCACCCTTCCACCCCACAGGTGTACCTGAAACCCAAGAACAAGGTGTTTTACTACCTCAACGCGCTCGGCCCGCTCACATCCATCCTCATCTCAACCATCATCGTGGCAGCTGCAGGGCTGACAGACAAAGGCATCCCCACTGTGAGTCCTGTCCTTGCTGTGCTCGTTCCCCTTGGCCCTAGGGTATGACCGTGCTCCGAGTATTCCACATCTCCTGTGCAATTATCACCGTGTCAGCAGCAGGGATCAGCGAGCAGGACATCCCCACTGTGAGTTGTCACAGCGTTCCCTCCTCTCTGCCTCTCTGCCACAAGCAGCACACCAGCCATTGCCGTGTGTTGAGGTTAACGTGCGTTGAGGTGCACGGGGCATCGTCCATCTCTTACTTCAACTTCTCTCCTCCACCTTCTTCCCTCCACCATTTCCCACCACCTTCTCTCAATTTTCTCCCACCACCTTCTCCCATCTCTCTCCATTCATCTCGTGTCTCTCCCGTGTCCAGATAGGTAAGATCTCCATGTTAGAAATATATATTGTGTAGCATGCCAACACTTGTGACTGTACACCAATTGTGGTGCACAGTTGGGTTGGGACTACACCCAACTTTGGGTGTAGTCTTGCACTTTGGGGTGCCAATCCACCCAATTGTGGTGGAGCCCCCAAATGCAACCCACTTGGCTTATGGGTGCCTCACTTCCTACAAGTGAGGTCACCTCAAGCCAAGTGGGCCAATGGTTGCCTCACTTCTACAAAGTGTGGACAACACCCAACCCACTTGACCTATGGTTGCCTCACTCCCCCAAGTGAGGTCAACCCAACCTATGGTCACCTTCACCCTTCCCTTCCAAGCCTCTCTTCCAACTATGTATGCTACGTTTTCTCTCCTAATGAAGTTACTTGTTCAATTTCCAATCTTCACACTCCACAGGGCTGCAAGGGGCCTCCTCCATATCTTACCTCAATTTCTCTCCTCCTCACCCTATGCCGCCTTTTGCCCCTCTTCTGCCCTCTTCCCTCGGCCCTGTTGCCCTGCCCAGATAGGAAAGATTTCCACGGGGCTGCACGGGGCCTCCTCCATATCTTATCTCAATTTCTCGCGGGAGAATGTTGCTGATGTGGCCACAGTAGGCTTCATCGCCTGCCTTGTCTCCCTTGCGGTGAGCGTGAGCCTTGAGTGCCCTCTCAGCCCCCAGTGTCTTTTGAAATCGTTGCAATGCGCCTGGAGATACATCTTTTGCACTGATTTCTGGTGCACCTGGAGAGGATTTGTGAGGCGCTAAAAAAAAAGTGCAAGGCTCCTGAAGAGGCATCTTTTGAGCTGATTTCTGGGGCATGCCGAGAGACACCTCGTGTGTAACCTGGTTCATCAAGTGTTCAAGACATCTGCTTCCCTTTGTGCTTCCCCTTGTGCAGGAGTCTGTGGGAATCGCCCGTACCTTTGCCAGCCTATATGGGTACCACCTCGACGGTAACAAAGAGGTGAGGTGGTTACCACGTGAAGGTACCATAGAGGTAAGTGGGGTTTTGAAAGCATATGTTCTTCCGTATTGTCTTTTTATTAGTCAATTCCTTCTTTCCTGCCACCTTATTCATTCCAAACTCACCCTCCCACCCGATCCCCCCTTCCCCTCACTCTCCCTGCCTTGCGTTTCAGATGGTGGCGTTTGGTTCAATGAACCTGGTCGGTTCGTTCACCTCATGCTATGTGGCAACAGGTGAGGCAGAATGGTGACTTCAAGTGCGGTGCAGTGCGGTGTGGTGCGGTGCAGAGAGGGGATGTATCAAAGCTGCAGCTGCTGTGCACTGGCCCCTGCCTTCCATTTTATTCTATCTGCATCAGCCCCTACTGCCTCGCTGGCAACTTCATGCGACGTGTAATGAGGTTGTTTTTGAGACGTCTCAAAAATAGCCCCTACTGCCTCGCTGGCAACTTCATGCGACGCGTAATGAGGTTGTTTTTGAGACGTCTCAAAAATAGCCCCTACTGCCTCGCTGGCAACTTCATGCGACGTGTAATGAGGTTGTTTTTGAGACGTCTCAAAAATAGCCCCTACTGCCTCGCTGGCATCTTCATGCAACGTGTAATGAGGTTGTTTTTGAGACGTCTCAAAAATAGCCCCTACTGCCTCGCTGGCATCTTCATGCGACGTGTAATGAGGTTGTTTTTGAGACGTCTCAAAAATAGCCCCTACTGCCTCGCTGGCATCTTCATGCGACGTGTAATGAGGTTTTTTTTGAGACGTCTCAAAAATAGCCCCTAGTGCCTCGCTGGCATCTTCATGCGACGCACTCACTGCCTCCCTTCATCTCCCCGTTCCTCCCTTCTCCTCTCCTCCCGCTCCTCCAGGTTCCTCCTCCCACGCGGCCATCAATGTGCTAGTGGACGCCAGGACAACGCTCACGCAAGCCATCTCTTGCCGTGCCAACACCTGCTCATTCCTGCCTCCTTCACTCGCCTCCCTCCCCTTCTGGCCCCACTGTCCTCTCCTCCGCACGCCGCCAGGTTCCTTTTCCCGCACGGCAGTGAACATGCTAGCAGGCGCCAAGACAGCGCTCACGCAGGTCATCATGGCGCTCCTCATTCTGCTCGTGCTGCTCGTCGCCGCCCCGCTCTTCAAAAACGTCCCCAATGTGCGCAGCCGCTTGCTTCCCTTTTTTTGTCGTCCCCTCGAAAAATGTTCCCATAGGCCTTGATTTTTTCATGCCCCTCGTGCTGCTAGTGCTGATCCGATCCGATCTTATTTGGGACTAGCAGTGCAGAATTTTTCATCACATTCCTTGTCCTCTTCCGCTCTTCCTCCCTCCCTCTCTCCCTCTCTCCCTCTCTCCCTCTCTCCTTCTCTCCATTTTCCCTTCAATGACAAACATGCTGTCAACCTGTTGCACTCTTCTTCTCATCCTCTCTCCCTTCTCCTCAACCACCCCTTCCCAACCCCCCCCCCCCCCCCCCCCCCTCCCCCGACATGCACCCCATGTGTCCCCTCGCCCTCCCCCACTGCAGTGTGTGGTTGGAGCAGTCATTGCCAACGCTGCCTTGAACTTGGTAAGCCCCCACCAACCAACCTTAACTCCCCAACTCTGATTGCCTTCCGTGTTTCTGAGGCGCCTCAGAGACAGACCTCTCTGCAGTGTGTGGTTGGTGCATCCATCGACAATGCTGCCTTGAACCTGGTAAGGCCGCACCCCCTCCTTAACTCCCATGTTTCCGCGGCACCTAAATAATGTGCCACTCTGTAGTGTGTGGTCGGAGCAGGCATTGCCAACGCTGCCTTGAACCTGGTAAGCCCCAACTCAAACTGTTCTACCCTGATTTTCCTTAGCTCTCTCCCCATCCCACTCTCCCCATCCCACTCTCCCCATCCCACTCTCACTCACCCTCTCGGTCCCCTTCATAATCGCGCCGTCTCTCGAACCCGCCCCAAATCCACCTTTATCCTCCTGCTTCGCCCCCCAAATCCACTCGCTCTGGGCTGGGCCTCTCATTCCTTCAATCTTCAATCTGCCTCCTTCTCCCACCCCGCATGCCCAGCTGGGTTTCCATGCAACAGCAGCCCTGTGGAGGGTAGACCAGATGGATTTCCTGGTCATCTCAGGATGCTTCCTCGCCATCCTCTTTGGGTTTCCTGGCGCCTCAAAGCTCTCCTTTCCCCCCTTTCCTCCACCACCTTCCCAGCTCGACTTCCACGCGGCAGCAGCCCTGGAAGGAGGGTGGACAAGATGGATTTCCTGCATGTCTCCCTGCTGCTCCCATTCCCACCGTATTCCCTCCTCTTCCACTCTCCCCTGCCTTACCTCTTGCCCATCTACCAGCTCGACTTCCATGCAGCGTGGGCCCTGTGGAGAGTAGACAAGATGGATTTCCTGGTCATGTCGGGCTGCTTCCCCCACTGTACCCTCATCACCCCTTCTCCCCACATCCTCCCCACATCCTCCCCACATCCTCCCCACATCCTCCCCACATCCTCCCCACATCCTTCCCCTGTTCACAGCTCGATTTCCATGCAGGAGCAGCCCTCTGGAGGGTAGACAAGATGGACTTCCTGGTCATGTCGGGTTGCTTCCAATCTCCATTCCCTCCTTATTCCCTCCTTCCCGCCTCTTCTTCCTCACTCAACAGCTCGACTTCCATGCAGCGTGGGCCCTGTGGAGGGTAGACAAGATGGTTTCCTGGTCATGTCGGGCTGCTTCCCCCACTGTACCCTCGGCACCCCCTCCTCCCCATATCCTCCCCACATCCTCCCCACCTCCTCCCCACATCCTCCCCACATCCTCCCCACATCCTCCCCACATCCTCCCCACATCCTTCCCCCCTTCCCAGCTCGACTTCCATGCAGCCTGGGCCCTGTGGAGGGTAGACAAGATGGACTTCCTCGTCAGGCCCGCCTGCTTCCTCGCCATCCTCTTCGGTTCCCCCGAGATCGGCCTCCTAGTCGCCATCCTCCTCTCCCTCATCAAGCTCCTCCTGCGCTCCCTCCGCCCGCACATCCGCCTGATTTCCCCACGTGTGCTCTCCCTTCTCCCCCATTCTGCCCCTAACAGCTCGACTTCCATGCAGCGTGGGCCCTGTGGAGAGTCGATAAAATGGATTCCCTGGTCATGTCGGGCTGCTTCCTTGCCATCCTCTTTTCTCATTCTCTCCACTACCCCCTCCTTCCCCCCTCATTCCCTCCTCCTTCCCCAACCCCACCTTTCCCAGCTCGACTTCCATGCAGCGTGGGCCCTGTGGAAAGTAGACAAAATGGATTTCCTGGTCATGTCGGGCTGCTTCCTCGCCATCCTCTTCGGCTCCCCCGAGATCGGCCTTCTCGTCGCCATCCTGCTCTCCATCATCAAAATCCTCCTGCGCTCCCTCCGCCCGCACATCCGCCTGCTCGGCCTCCTCCCCAACGCCGCCGCTACAGCCGTGAGCGTGCTGCAGTTCCCCAACAGCGCGCTGTGCGAGGGGATTGTGATGCTGAGGGTGGAAAGCCCGCTGTATTTCCCCGGAGCGAATTTTGTGCGCCAGCGGGTGAAGAAGCTCTGTGACGCGTACGCAAGGGGATACCAGCAACCAGTCAAGGTGAATTACTGGTGCTGCAGTTCCCCAACAGCGTGCTGTGTGAGGGGATCATGATGCTCAGGGTGGAGAGCCCGTTGTACTTCCAAGGAGCTAACTTTGTGAGGCAGAGGGTGAAGAAGCTGTGTGATGCGTATGCAAGGGGTTACCAGCAGCCAGTCAAGGTGAGCCTGAAACTGACGCAGTCCCCAGGGTGAACGATCAGTGAATGTGAGGGGAAGATGTTTGAGACTGCTGTCAGATCTTTGTTAGGTGGCGGGTGTAGAAGCTGTGTGATGCGTACACAAGGGGATACCAGCAGCCAGTCAAGGTGAGCGATTTGCGAGTTTGCCTGTGGCGTGTGAGAGCACCGTAAGGCAGCGGGTGAATCCGCTGTGTGACGGTACGCCGTATGCAAGGAGGTTCGAGCAGGCAGTCAAAGTGAGGCATGGCATTACAATGAGATTGCCACATAGAATTCTCAAAAAACATTCCCAGGGTGACTGTCATGTCATCAGTGAGCGAGCTGCATCAAGGTGAATACTCTTATCGATGTGACGGCCATTGAGGCCACGAGAGAGCTGCAATACTCAACTCCCACCTTCCCATCTCCCATTGCGCCGCCCCCCTCTCCCTCTGCAGCACTGTGTGCTGGATCGATCAGTCATGCATGCCATTGACGTGACGGTCATTGAAATCATGAGGGATCTGCAATGCTCAAGACCACCTCTTCCCATCCCCCATTCCTCCATCCCTCTCCTGCTGTTCCCCACCTTTTGGCAGCATTGTGTGTTGGACCTATCGGTCATGCATGACATCGATGTGACGGCCATAGAAGCCATGAGGGACCTGCACCGCGACCTCACACAGATGGGCATCCAGGTGAGCTGATGCAGGTGATCCAGGTGGGTTGATCAGGTGATCCAGGTGGGTTGATCAGGTGATCCAGGTGGGTTGATCAGGTGATCCAGGTGGGTTGATCAGGTGATCCAGGTGGGTTGATCAGGTGATCCAGGTGGGTTGATCAGGTGATCCAGGTGGGTTGATCAGGTGATCCAGGTGGGTTGATCAGGTGAACCAGGTGGGTTGATCAGGTGATCCAGGTGGGTTGATCACGTGATCCAGGTGGGTTGATCACGTGATCCAGGTGAGTTGATCAGGTGATGCGGGTGGTCTGACTGTGGCACTCAGGTAAGCTGGCCGTCTAGGCCATGAGGGACCTGCACTGCGACCTCACACAGATGGGCATCCAGGTGAGCTGACCCGGGTGATGTGGGTGGGTCAGGTTTGTCGGCCATAGAGTCCATGAGAGACCTGCACTCCCTCACTCCCTCACTTTCTCCATTCCATCCCCTTCCCTCCAATCCCTCTGCAGCTGTGTCTGGCGAGTGCCAACAGGGACGTGCTGAGGAAGATGTTTGACGCGCAGCTGTTAGCAGAGATAGGCGAGCAGTGGCTCTTCGTCACTCCTGGGTGCCACAATTCCTGTTCATCCCCTCCCCTTCGCCCCTTTCCCACCACCCCCTCCTGCAACAGCTTTGCCTGGCGAGTGCCAACAGGGACGTGCTGAGGAAGATGTTTGACGCGCAGCTGTTAGCAGAGATAGGCGAGCAGTGGCTCTTCGTCACTCCTGGGTGCCACAATTCCTGTTCATCCCCTCCCCTTCGCCCCTTTCCCACCACCCCCTCCTGCAACAGCTTTGCCTGGCGAGTGCCAACAGGGACGTGCTGCGCAAGATGTTTGACGCGCAGCTGTTAGCAGAGATAGGCGAGCAGTGGCTCTTCGTCACTCCTGCAGACGCCGTCAAGCTGTGCCGTGCCGTGGCGCTCTCTCAGCCTGCTGCCAAGGAGACCGAGGAGCTGCTGAACACTGTACCGTCGTTTGATATTTAGGGGAGCTGGAGGCTTGGCTTGTCTTGGCTTGGCTTGGAGAATGTGCTGCTGTGGCAAGGCATGGCGCTCTCTCAGCCTGCTGCCAAGGAGAAGGAGCTATTACACGGAGTCCAGAATCTAGATATGTAGGGGGATGGGGAGGGGGGGGCAAAATGCTGGTGGATTGGTGGATTAGTTTCCGGATATAGTGGGAATTGTATCAATGGTGGTAGTGAGGGGGGGGTTTGGTGCTTTTCCAGCCAACAGCCAAGGATACTGAGGGAGGGAAGGGGACTCTTCTAGTTTTCCAGCTAGACACTGGCTGGTGTAAGGTGGTGGTGAGAAATGGTGAAAATGCTGACTAACAAGTGTGGCCACTGGGTAGTGGTCTTATGAACCATGTTGTCCTATTTGTGTGTTTTTTGACATTTCTTACATAAGGAAATTGTGTGATTTGTTTGGCATAGACGAAGTTCAACCCTCACAAAATATAAATGAACATTTTTACTACAAGCTGTACAGAGCGGTACATACAGGCTATGGGAACCACATCTCTCCCGCATCAACGTAGCCACATAAGTTCCTGACCTACAATTCACCACCGTCCAGTGGAAGCTGGCTCTACCGCAGGGCGTTAGAGAATTATTTATCAAGCGGCTTCAGGTCGGACGCAATTGGAAGAACCACGGGCTTGCCATCCTCCCCCTCCACCTCCACCCCGCGCGTGTATGTCAACAGCGGGTCGAGCGCGCTTTTGCTGAACGGATCGCGCGGCACGCCCGCGCCCGCATTCGGCGGCGCCTTAGAAACATCCGGCGGGTTGTTAATAACCACCCAGCCGCCGAGAAGCCCTCCTAAAAGCAGAAACGTGAGTCCCGCGAGGAACGGGAAGCGGATCGCGAGGGGGTCGATTCCGAGTTGACCGAACACGCCCTTGCCTGTGATGACTTCCATCGTAAGCGCGCTTGCGAAGCCGACCATAGCGAGGCGACCCACGCTGAGCTCCTGCAGCGATCCGAATCCGAACCACGTCCCCGGACCTCCGAGCCCGAATCCGGGGCTGGCGGGAGGTGCGGGAGAGGTGGCAGGCTCGGGCGTGGAGGGATTTGTGGAGTCCGCGCGGATGGCTAGACGCGTGGGTGCAGTAAGGTTGGCAGGTGTGGAGAGGGATGTGGATCCTCTGTGTGCTGGGAGACGCACGGCGACGAGGGACGGGTTGGCGAGAGCGCGGCGATGGTTAGCCTGAAGGCTGCGCGCTCGTAGCGCTGCGGAGCTAGCTGCAGCAGAGGTAGAGACAGCGAGAGTAGCCATGGCTGAGAGAGCTGCGGTGAGTATGCAGAGGTGGATGGAGTGAGCTGGTGCTGCTGCTTGTTATTAGTTCGCAACGGGTTATAGCTCTAGAGCTCTGCTGCAAAATTCTGCGTCAAGACCGGGTGAGGAGGCGTTGTAGGTCAAGAGCTGTGAATCGATAGAAGTACGTGAAGAAAGAAAGGGAGGGAGGGAATTTATGTGTTGTGGGAGCAGCAAGCGGCTCGCTGGTGCTATCGAATTTCGTCCGAGACGCGTGTCGGTCTGCCTACGTGCCATTAGAAAATGCGTGGAGTCACGAAGGTCAAACACTGAGGTGGCTGCTTGGCCACGTCTCGTGTACTATGTGGAGCGGGGAGAGCGAGACACGCCGCATGCTGGGTGTGTCTGGTGAGCTGAACTACACGTTGGCAAATGCTTCGACTCAGAAGTTCCCAGTCAGTCCCCGTTTGAGGTCAGGTTTCAAGGTGTGGGGGAATGTTCCTAGGCCATGCCAGAACTATCGAGAACCTACACCGTCGATAAATCAAGGCATAATTGCATCCAAACAAAATGAAATCTCACATGTCTTACATATTACGGTAAGCTGGTGGCATTTTCCATCGACCTTATGAACACTGCATTCACAAATCTCCAGAGATCATACGGTACGCATTCGCATAAATGTGTGGATTGGTGCTGACACACTCAAAATGCCATAACAATCGACGGATTTCTAGGTGTAAAACATAGCGCTGGGCTCAATATCCTACATAGACTGCTGCATTCACAACATAGCAGTCATCATTGCGGTCACCAAGTGCCTCTAGCGCCACCCCACTCGAACAGATGAGGCCACCATCAACCACTTCCACGCCAATGATTTCACCACTGCCAGCACACATGACAACGTGCTTGATTAGTGCGTGAAGGTTCACAACATGTGTATCAGCATCAGTGGACATGCGTGGAGAGTAGGGAGGGAAGAGCGGTCGAGAAAGAAATGGAGAGGCGGAAGGAGAGAGTGAGTTAAACGGTTAGAGGAGCACGAGGAGGTGGAGGAGGATGGGGGGAGGGGGGAAAGGGGGGGAGAATGAGGGGTAGGGGGGGGGAGGAGGAGGCGGAGGAGCGGGAAGAGGGGGAAGGGGGGGACGGGGGAGGGGGGTGGGGAGGAGGGTACTCACTAGGGGAACACAGCCTTGACTTGGTCAATATCCAGGCCAGACTGAAGCTCCCTGGGCACGCCTAGGCGCACCTGAAGCTTCATCTGCTGCCACGATACACCTGGGATGGCACCTGGGGGTGGAAAGGAGAGCAGTAGCGCATGGAAGAAACGCACACGTCTAAAGGGGGGTGGGGGTGGAGGTAGGAGTGGGTAGAGGAGGGGAGACTGAGGAAAGGAAACTATCATGGCTAGGACGTAATCAGGCCTGGTATGCCGAGCCCCCGGTTGTGGAATAATTATTCCAGGCGACATTGCCTCAGAGACCATAAGGAAGAGCGAGAGATGGGAGCATCAAGATAACGCCCCCTACCTGTGCGGAAGGCGGGGATGGAGTTGGACGTGATGGCGTTTCGACACGCCTTTATCGCTGCCTTGGTGACATTCTGCCTGCCACGTGGCAAGCCATGATTGGAGGGATGATATAAGGGGTGAATAGATGGAAAAGTGCTGATCAGCGCGCCGTGAGGTAAATGGATGCCTAGGATAAATAACAACACAACACCACTACATTGGACACGGTAGTGATAGCTCATTTGTTCTGTAAAGCTTGGTAAAGAACACCACCACCACTAATGCGCACCCATGCATGGAATACGACGACACACCCGTGCTGGTCGTATCCCACACCCATCTCGACGAAGAGCACCTTCATGCGACTCCCCTCACTCGTCGCCTGAGACATCCCTGCGACGTCGCTCGCCTCTGCCATGGCGATAAACCGTCGCTGCAAAACGGACGACACTCCCGACGATATCGCGGGCGACAATCGCAGAGGCGCAGAGACTAGCAGATTGCTCGACGCGCTAAATGAACAGTTACTATTGCGAAGGTTCCCTGTAGCGAGATTGCGTGGAATTACGGCGAATCTATGGCTGGTGGCTGAAGGAGAGAGAGGAATGCGATGGGATGCAGCTAATAGAGGCATTGCCTAATCGCTTGATCACCTAAACGTTGAGTCACTTGATAGCCTACAAATCGCTCTAAAACCTGACCACCTAAGCGTTCAGTCGAATGACTCAGCTAGTCGGACTCTGATCGCCTGACTGTCTAACGGGCTCGTCCGTTTGGGTGCTTCCTACACTGGATAGCGGAGAATAGTATGCACTGCGTGAGCCCTGCATATTTCAGAGAATGCTACTAAATCCCTAAGGACGCGTCACAATTGAAATACCGAGGAAGGATCGGGGGTCTCCGACCCTGCCAAATCGATCGCCACATCGGTGTGCCATGACTGCATTTTTGCAATCGCGGGGCCCACCGCAATTCTCGAGGGACATTTGAAAAATCTTGGGGCAAATCGCCCGATCTGGACGAAATTGCACGATCGATGTGTGGCAAGGGCGCATCGATCGCGTGACTACGAGGGGACAACTGTACATTGGCGACAGACACGAAGTTAAGTAACCACTTTTTCACCACTTAACGAAGTACTGTACCCGCGAAACACCGATCCTGCGCAGGATCGATGTTTCAATTGTGACGCGTCCTAAGGACGCATCACAAGCTAAACACCGACCCTGCAAAAGATCGGTGTTTCGCATTCACGAAGTCGTTAAATGCTGGTTACCTGTTTTCGTCATCCATCGCCAATGTACAGTTGTCCCCTCGGACTCGGGCGATCGATGTGCCCTTGTCACACATCGATCGCGCAAATTCGTCCACATCGGGCAAATTTTCCCCATGATTTTCCGATCGTGTCACTTGGGACTTGCGGTGGGCCCGCGATTGAAAACTTTCAGTCGTGGCACACCGATGTGGCGATCGATTTGGCAGGATCGGTGAACAAACCCGATCCTTCCTCGGTTTTTCAAATTTGACGCGTCCTAAATTTTGGGGGAATGCCGCCCACATAAACATTTTGTGGTGGCTTGTACTCGATAGAGGGTCACAGGATTTACGTATAATACACATTGAAAAGCATACTCGTATTTTGTATACCTTTGGCTAGCTTCGTCGCATCTTGCTCTCGTGTTTTCTCTGCACTCCTAAGCTCCTGCACGCAGCTCCTCACGTTCTCAAATCCTCGCACGCTCCAGTATCACACGACCGAATCGCCACTTCGCGTAACGTGACAATTTTCTTGCCTGCTTCTCCGTTCGCCTGCGCTGCGTCCTTCGCTTCTCGGCTCGCCCTTTCTCCTCCCCTTCACTTCACCCCTTGTCTCGTAGCAGTTACTCCTTTCGGCCGCGCTCGCTTTTTGCTTCGTCCTTTTCCCGCCATGATATCCGACAGGATATCAAAGGTTGTACTCGTAGCGTGCGGCGTCGGCACAATAGCGGGTACGTTACCAGCGGGATCGTTGAACCAGCGCGCAAACACGTCTCAGTCTCGTTGTCGTCTGTTTCTCCCGCGCCTCTGAACTTTTTTTTCCATTCATTCCGTGTTTCTCCCGTGCTCCACTGTCCATTCCTCGGCCACTCTCCGCGCGCTCTCCCGTGCGCTCTTCGTTCCACCCGTCGCCCCCAATCATCCCTGCTCCCGTCTTCTCCCTGCTTCTCCGATTCTCTCATCCTTTCAGCCGCTATTCCCTTCCACATTCCTTCCCACCTCCCCACTTCCTCCCCCACGCCAGTTTCCACTCTTCTCCTCTCCCTTCCTCTTCCTCCCTCCAGCCGCCACCCGCTCCCCCTCTCTCCCCGCATCACCGTTTCCTCTCCTGCTACCTCTCCTTTCACCATTCGTTAGTCTTTCCCGTCCCCACCCTCCTCCCTTCCCTTTCCTTCCCTTAGCTTCCCTTTCTCTTCCCCTCCCTTCCCCTCCCCTCCCCCCCCCGTCCCCTCCCCCTTCCCACAACAACGTATTCTGCGTACCAGGCCTGTTGCTGACATCAGCAGATCGCAAGGCCCAATCACGAGCGCAGGGACCTGTGTCTGTTGAAGAGAAGCTGAAGCAACTCGATAAGAGCATGTCTCGATAGCAGCACATTGAGGTGGTGGAGTTTGGAGTTATGCTTTGGAGGTGGCTTTGGCTGGGGTGGCGTTATTTGATTCTGCTGGGAGGAGAATTATGCTCAAGATATCTGGGAGGTAAATAGAAGGTATGTTTTCTCCAAAGTTAGTATTAGTACCGTAAAGAAAGGAAAACCCCCGATCTTTGCACTGAGGAGAAAGCCTCACATACGGTAGTACCGTACCATATGGTATTCTGGCGGTGCAACGGAGTAGCTTGGCTCCAGCTCCAACCATTTTGAGTTTGCGCCGTGATCCAGTAAAAATAAATCTCTAAAATATGAACACTTGCAATGCATGCATATACACCTCCAGTGTTGTGAATTGAAGCTGGTATGATCTGAAGAGGTACGGTATTGCAGCTCAAAAACTACCTACTTCTGAAATGATTTGGAAGTGTTTCAGAAAGCTTCTTCCTTACGGTGTTTCGAATATCCCTTCGTCCTCCTCGACATTCAGGACGTGTCTCATGTGAAGGGTCTGCTGGATCTGGTCCGCGACCAGAATCTATACGCCTGGTCCGGGGTTCTGGTCCGACGGACCCACTTGGCGGACCAGCATTGGACCAGACACGGACTGGTCTGCCTAATCCGTCGCGCTTCGGTCTGCACAGTATTTGCGAGATGCAGCAGTAGCAACGAATTCGAAATGTAGTTACCCATTTTCTTCGTCTGCACAAAAGTCTCACGCGAAACTTACAAAATAAGAAATTTCGCAAAAATAAATGTTTCACCACCTACTGTTTACGGACCAGGCGCGGACTGGTCTGGAGGGCCAAATAAATGGCACCGTTTTAGTGTCATTCGAACAGTATAACGGGGTTACAGGCTCTCATCCTGGTCCCGGTCCGCCCTGGTTCACGCGCTGGTTCTTGAGCTGGTCCGTCAGGTCCGAGCCGGACCCACGTGGACTCAGACATCTGAGACACCCTCTCAACCTCTTCGCTTTCCCCTCGTTCTGCTCGGGGCACGCCAGCACAGCAACCCCAACCCCACCATTCATTCCCCTTCAATCGTTCACAAACCACCCTCTTTTTCGTAGCTCTGCATCCAAGGCTGAGCTGCGCGCATTTCCGTCTGCTATCTTGATCGGACGGTTCAGCTTTTCCGGCAATGGCGGGTGGTTTGGCAGCGCTCGCGGAGGTGTCGCTCGCGAAAGAGAAGATCGTATTGGACGAGGCTGATTGGAACGCGATTCTCGACGCCATGCGGCCGTACGAGAACCGTGCGCCCAATGACACGACACTCCGTACGCCGAACCGTGCGCCGAACGGTACGCCGGCGGAGAAGAAACGGAACGGCACGACGAGCGTCGTCCGGAAAGCAGCCAGCGCTGTCAAGAAGACACTCAGCTCGATCACTGTAACGAAGACGAGGCTTATAACGAAAAAGAGCACGCTAACGAGGACAACCGAGGCGGAAGGGGGGCCATCGCCTCCCGCCAAGCGTAGAAAGCTCGATAGCGCGGGTCACGATCAGACTGGCAAGGGGGGCGGAGAGGAGGGAGAAGCAGGCAAGGAGGGGGAGAAGCAGGGCGTGTGGTGGTCGTTTAAACTTCCGGAAGTGAGCCTCAAAGACCCTAATAAATCGTTAATGAGTGAGCTAGTAACGCGGAAGATCGGCGGAGGTTCAGGGGTCAAGGACGGGGGTTTAGCGGCGAAGAACGTGAACGGTAAGGGCAAAGGCGCAGCTAATGCACCATCAGTAGCGGTGGCGGCAGCGGCAGCGGCGGCGGCGGCAGCGACGTCACAGAAGCGGAAACTACCGTCGTGGGCGGAGGGGAAGGGGCCGGGGGCAGCGGTGGTGAAGGGCGCGGATCAAGTAGTGGCGGCCCCCGGCCACGCGCGCGACTTTTCTTTCCGCCGCGACGTGCAAGGTGCGAGCATTGGGTTTGATGGTATGGTGCAAGGGGGAAAGGGGGGAATGGGGAAAGGGGAGAATGGAGAAAGGCCGGGGGCAGCGGTGGTGAAGGGCGCGGATCAGGTGGTTGCGAACCACGGCCACGCGCGCGACTTTTCTTTCCGCCGCGACGTGCAAGGTGCGAGCATTGGGTTTGATGGTTTGGTGCAAGGGGGAAAGGGGGGAATGGGGAAAGGGGAGAATGGAGAAAGGCCGGGGGCAGCGGTGGTGAAGGGCGCGGATCAGGTGGTTGCGAACCACGGCCTCGCGCGCGACTTTTCTTGAGTGTTGGGTGCGTTGGGTGGTTATGGTGCTGGTGGGTGCGAGAAGGAATGGCGGAGGGGAAGGGGCCGGGGGCAGCGGCGGTGAAGGGCGCGGATCAATTAGTGGCGGCCCCCGGCCACGCGCGCGACTTTTCTTTCCGCCGCGACGTGCAAGGTGCGAGCATTGGATTTGATGGTTTGGTGCAAGGGGAAAAAGGGGGGGAATGGGGAAAGGCCGGGGGCAGCGGGGGTCAAGGGCGCGGATCAAGTAGTGGCCGGCCCCGGCCTCGCGCGCGACTTCTCCTTCCGCCGCGACGTGCAAGGTGCGCCGGGTTTGGTTGGGATTCGCGAGATTTGTACCCTCTCTGTTTCCTCTCTTGCGCCCCCACCAGGGCTGTCGCTTGCTTTGGGTCCAGAACTTAGCGGGCTGAGGTGCCCTGAATTCAGCCCTTATTTATCCGGGTTGAGGAGTCAGATTTCAACACTTAGATCCAGGGCAGCACATCCTTGTGCACTTGAGCGTAAACACATCGTGAACGTAGATGATGTTCAAATACACCTGAGGGCTGCGGTACATAGCCGGTCTACCATGCAACGGGGTGGGGGGGGGAGTATGTACGTAAGCAGGGGACAATATCAAGGGAAATGAGGGGGTAGGGTGGTAGGTGAAGGCTCTGAGCGTGTACGTGAAATCCGGGTTAGGCGTTCAACCAGCCCGTAAGGGAAACGGGCTGGCCTCAAAGCCAGCCCTTGAATTCTCTGAGCTGGGCCTGAACCAGCACGTGAATTCAAGGGCAAAAAGGGCAAATGCCCTTGTAACGACAGGCCTGGCCCCCACCCTTAACCCCTCTCCCCCCCTCTCTTTCCCCTCTCCTCCCCTCTCCTCCCCGCCCCCTCTCCCCACTTCCCCACCCTTCCTTTCCTTCTCCTCCTTGCAGCAACGTCACTCTTCCGTTCCATACCAGTGCTCGCACAAGACATCTACGCGCGCTTCCCCGGGAAGGTGGTGTACCGCCGCGAGCGCAATGGGGTGGAGGCAGCAGCGAGGGAGCTCTATGCAGCTGTTAAGAATGGTAAGACTTGCAGGTATAGAGCTTGTTGTATGGTCTTATTACGTCTACGCGTGCCTTCCCGGGAAGGTGGAGTAGAGGCAGCAGCGAGGGAGCTCTGCGCGGCTGTGAAGAACGGTAGGCACTGGCGGTCTTGTGGGCCTTGTAAGATTTCGCTTCTGGTCTGCAAGTCAGACTGGGTGTGGTGTATCGCCGTGAGCGCAACGGCGTGGAGGCAGCCGCGAAAGAGCTCTACGCGGCTGTCAAGAACGGTAAGGTATCAGGGTTCGCGGTATAGAATCCTGTGGATTTGATTTGATGGGAAGGTGGTGTATCGCCGCGAGCGCAACGGGTGGAGGCAGCAGCGAGGGAGCTGTACGCGGCTGTGAAGAGCGGACTGTACGCGGCTGTCAAGAGCGGAGGGCTTTGCGGCTGGTAGGGTTTAAGTGATTGTGTTTAGAATGGCAGAATCAGTAGCGCCTAGGACGTTGGGTTCCGGTGTTGGACTGGACTGTGGGTGTGCTGTGCGTGGACGAAAGCACATTGGTGGGGAGGCAGCAGCAGCGAGGGGGCTCTTGCGACTGTAAGAGACGCTTTTGAGGCGCCAACGAAATGGGCTCTACACGGCTGTAAGAGCGGTAGGCACTGGAGCTGGACTGCGAGTGACTCAAGCTGCTTCCTCCCGTTCTCGATCTTTCTGTATCACCCCTCTGCTCCTCCCTCTACTCCTCCCTCCCTACACCAGGGGCCAACGACAGCAGCGGCAAAGTGGCGGTGGGGCTGGACTGCGAGTGGAAGCCCACGTGGGGGAAAGGTGAGGTGGTGTGGTGGGGTAGGGTGGGGTAGGGTAAGGGCTGGGGCTGATGGGCCTAGACCAAGGGTGCTCCTCCCTCAATGCTCAGGGCGCTGACGGCAGCAGCAGCAGGTCGGCGGTGGGCTGGACTGCGAGTGGAAGCCCACGTGGGGGAAAGGTGAGCGTGGCGGGGTGTGGTGGAGTAAGGTGAGGGGCAGGGGTGAGGGTGGTGGAGTGGAGTGGAGTGAGGGTTGTGGGGTGAGGGTGGTGTGGTGAGGTTTGATGGTTTGGGGTGAGATGGGGTGGGAGGGATGATGATGCGTGCTATACCCAATTCTTCTGCCTCCCTGCTCCCCCTTCACTCTCTCACCTCCCACTCTCTTCCCCCAACCTCCAACTCTTCCACCACGTCCCCACCAGGCCCGGAGAATCCCTGTGCACTGCTACAGCTCTGTGCCAACGCGGACGTCTGTTATCTCTTCCATCTCAAGTTCACCGGAGTTCCCGAGACTCTCCGTGCATTTCTCAAGGATGCTAGCGTGGTCAAGGTCAGTGTGTTGCACTGCCTTTTCCTATGCATATGTGCATTCCCCCTTCCCCCTTCCCCCTTCTGCACGCGTGGCTCAAGGATGCCAGCGTGGTTAAGGTCAGTGAGTTGCACTGCCTTCCCTCATGCATATGTGCGTTTCTTTTCTTATCCCTACGTGCTTTCCCCCTTCCCTCTTCTCTGCACGCGTGGCTCAAGGATGCCAGCGTGGTCGAGGCGAGTGCGAGTTCCAAAGACCACTCTCCATTCTCGTCTCCGCCCTTCCTTCGTCCATCCCTCCGCTCATCCCTCCGCTCATACCCCCCCTCGTACCTCCCCTTTCGTCCCTGCCCTTTCCTTCCCTCTTCTCTCCTCATTCCTCTCCTCTCTTTCCTCTCCTCTCTTTCCTCTCCTCTCGTGCCTCTCCTCTCCCTTCTGCCCGTGCAGACAGGTGTAGGTGTGACAGAGGACGGCCGGAAGCTGAGGAAAGATTTCGGTGTTGAGGTGAGTAGTGGTGGGTGGGTGGGTGGGTGGGTGGGAGGGGAGAGTCCGCTTGTTCGTGCGTGCAACCGTGGCTATGCACCTGTGTTTGTATACATAGGTGTATGGGCTCGTGTTTGTATACATAGGTGTATGGGCTCGTGTTTGTATACATAGGTGTATGGGCTCGTGTTTGTATACATAGGTGTATGGGCTCGTGTTTGTATGCATAGGTGTATGGGCTCGTGTTTGTATACATAGGTGTATGGGCTCGTGTTTGTATACATAGGTGTATGGGCTCGTGTTTGTATACATAGGTGTATGGGCTCGTGTTTGTATACATAGGTGTATGGGCTCGTGTTTGTATGCATAGGTGCATGGGCTCGTGTTTGTATACATAGGTGTATGGGCTCGTGTTTGTATACATAGGTGTATGGGCTCGTGTTTGTATACATAGGTGTATGGGCTCGTGTTTGTATACATAGGTGTATGGGCTCGTGTTTGTATACATAGGTGTATGGGCTCGTGTTTGTATACATAGGTGTATGGGCTCGTGTTTGTATACATAGGTGTATGGGCTCGTGTTTGTATACATAGGTGTATGGGCTCGTGTTTGTATACATAGGTGTATGGGCTCGTGTTTGTATACATAGGTGTATGGGCTCGTGTTTGTATACATAGGTGTATGGGCTCGTGTTTGTATACATAGGTGTATGGGCTCGTGTTTGTATACATAGGTGTATGGGCTCGTGTTTGTATACATAGGTGTATGGGCTCGTGTTTGTATACATAGGTGTATGGGCTCGTGTTTGTATACATAGGTGTATGGGCTCGTGTTTGTATACATAGGTGTATGGGCTCGTGTTTGTATACATAGGTGTATGGGCTCGTGTTTGTATGCATAGGTGTATGGGCTCGTGTTTGTATACATAGGTGTATGGGCTCGTGTTTGTATACATAGGTGTATGGGCTCGTGTTTGTATACATAGGTGTATGGGCTCGTGTTTGTATACATAGGTGTATGGGCTCGTGTTTGTATGCATAGGTGCATGGGCTCGTGTTTGTATACATAGGTGTATGGGCTCGTGTTTGTATACATAGGTGTATGGGCTCGTGTTTGTATACATAGGTGTATGGGCTCGTGTTTGTATACATAGGTGTATGGGCTCGTGTTTGTATACATAGGTGTATGGGCTCGTGTTTGTATACATAGGTGTATGGGCTCGTGTTTGTATACATAGGTGTATGGGCTCGTGTTTGTATACATAGGTGTATGGGCTCGTGTTTGTATACATAGGTGTATGGGCTCGTGTTTGTATACATAGGTGTATGGGCTCGTGTTTGTATACATAGGTGTATGGGCTCGTGTTTGTATACATAGGTGTATGGGCTCGTGTTTGTATGCATAGGTGCATGGGCTCGTGTTTGTATACATAGGTGTATGGGCTCGTGTTTGTATACATAGGTGTATGGGCTCGTGTTTGTATACATAGGTGTATGGGCTCGTGTTTGTATACATAGGTGTATGGGCTCGTGTTTGTATACATAGGTGTATGGGCTCGTGTTTGTATACATAGGTGTATGGGCTCGTGTTTGTATGCACGTGTGTCTTTCTGCATGCACATGAGCAGGTGAGTGGGAGGTGAGTGGGCAGGTGAATGGTCAAGTGAGTGGGCTGGTGGACTGTTGTTTCTCTCTGCTCAGAGGAGGTTGGGCAAAAAAACGTACTTGTTTTTTACACTCAGGAAATGGTGGGGCTCAAGGCAATTATGCTCACCCTCCACGTGTATGAAGATTTGTTTTGAGACGTCTCCAAACGAATCTTTATCAGAGGAGGGTGGGCAAAAGAACGTCCTTGCTTCTGACGCTCAGGAAATGGTGGGGCTCAAGGCATTTATGCTCACCCTCCGCTTGTGCATGCTGCGTGTGTGTCTTTCTGCATGTGCATTGGCAGGTGAATGGGCTGGCGGACTGTTCGCCTCTAGCACAGGAGGAAGCTGTGGTGCCAGCCAGAGGGACTGCAGATGATGGGACTTAAGACACTCGCCCACCGCTTGTGCGTGTATTCAATTCGTCCACATGTGCACATACGCAGGTGAACGGGCTCGTGGACTGCTCACCACTGGCACAGGAGAAGGCAGTGGTGCCGGATGGAGGGCAGATGGTGGGGCTCAAGACGCTCACCCGCCTGTTGTGCGTCTGCATGTGCGTGCTGTGTGTGTTTCTGTGCAGGTGAATGGGCTGGTGGACTGTTCGCCTCTAGCACAGGAGAAGGCAGTGGTGCCGGATGGAGGGCAGATGGTGGGGCTCAAGACGCTCACCCGCCTTGTGCTGCAGAAAGAGGTAAGAATTAAGGCGGCTTTTCGGCTGGGAATGCGCTTGTGAGTGGACTCAGAGGTTGCCTCGGCAGATGGTGGGACTCGAGACTCTCACCCGCCTTGTGCTGCAGAAGGAGGTGAGGTGTGCTGCTGGGTGGAATAAGTCTACATCACGCACATGCACAAGTGAAAAGAGTCCAGTGCAGCAACTGTGAGGGCTGTCCTCTGACCAACGCCCAGCTCATCTACGCTTCAACAGATGCCTTCACATTTCCCAAGACAAAAAAGTGCAGTGCAGCAACAGGGAGGGCTTTCCTCTCACAGACGCCCAGCTGATCTACGCTTGAACAGATGCATTTCAATTCTCCCTCCCTGTTCCCCCCAACCTCCCACCCCCAACCCCACCCCAACCGCATCCTCCACTGCAACTGCAGCTCGCCAAGCCAAAACGAGTGCAGTGCAGCAAATGGGCCTCTCACAGACGCCCAGCTCATCTACGCGTCAACAGGCGCGTTTGTGTCGCTGAGAATCTTCCAGGAACTTGACGCCATGCCTTTTACACCTCTCTCCCTCCTAACCTTTGCAGCTCGCCAAACCAAAGAGAGTCCAGTGCAGCAACTGGGAGGGCTTCCCTCTTACTGATGCCCAGCTTATTTACGCGTCAACAGACGCGTTTGTGTCGCTGAGAATCTTCCAGGAACTTGACGCCATGCCGAGCCCGTGGGAGGGAGGAAATGGACATGTGTCGGCAGCAGTGGCAGAATCTGCGATGGCTGTATCGGTGGCAGCTGCTGCAGCAGCAGCAGCAGCAGCAGCAGCAGCAGGAGGAGAAAGAGAAGAGGATGACAAAAAGGAGAGGCAGGAGAAGACGAATAAAGAGACAGTAGGAAAGCAGAAGGGGAAGGAGAGGGAGGAAAAGAAGGGGAAGGAGGGGGAGGAAAAGAAGGGGAACGAGGGGAAGAAGAGCGCGAATGGGAAGGAGGGGCAAGCAGATGTGGAAGCACAGACGGGGAAGAAGAGCAAGAGGAAGCAGGAGGCACCCGAGGAGGGCAAGAGCGCAGCAAGAGCAGATGCTGGTGAAAGCAAAGCAGCAGAGGCAGACGGACCGAGAAAGAAGAGAAGAAAGCAAGGGAGCGCAGGGGAAGGCAAGGGTGATGGTGGGAGCAGCGGCAGCAAGGTGGGGAGCTTGAAAGAAGCTGCTGCAGACACGGCGAGCAGGTGGATGGAGCTGATTAAAAAGGCCACCACACGACAAAAGTAGCTACCATCTACTAGCCAATGAAGGCTGTTACACTTTTAAGGCCCCTCAAAAGGCGAGCAGGTGGATGGAGCTCATAAAAAAGGCTACCGTCATCGCCCGGATATAAGACATATATGTCTTATCTCATACACTAAAAAAAATGTTTGGGTTATCTTGTATTTGGGGAGGTTTTGGGTGTCTAAGTCTTATAAATGGAAACTTTTTTTAACTAAAAAATATTGTCACACATCTTGAAAAGAGTTTCTCATTATGAGTGTGGATGTTGCGAAGGTGCCACTTCGGTCGGCAACCATTGTTCGGGACGCCACGTCATGGAGAATACTTGCAGGGGCAACTTTGGTAGTTCGTGAGTCAGCACATGGCAGAATTCGCGTGTCGCAAGGGTAAAAATGTACGCGGTATTTCGATTTTCACTATAATATATTGCAGTTTCGATTAAAAGGCACATATGTCTTATCTCGTACACACAAATAGGTGTCTTATAATGAGGCTAGCCTGTTTATAAGAGACACCCGTATAATAGACAATCCCTGTCTACTATTCAACACTGTCTTATATCCGGGTGATGACGGTACGGCACGGCAAAAGTAGCAGCGGGGGAGGAAACAGCTGAAGTGCATTTTCTGTTCCAAGGAGTTGAGTAGCAGATCCAGCAGTAAAATCAAGTCTTGAGTTTATTTGTTTCTTGCATGGAAGCTTGTACTTACAAGTGTCATGTACCGTAATTTTTATTATCATTTGGCCAGAAATACGATGGTTCAGACCAGAAGGGAGATGGCCACGTGTATAAAACATCCAGGTAGCAGCAATTTGCCACAATTCCTGGCAGAAACGAATTGTACGGTGATTTAAACATGAACAGTATACATTACAATACACTACAGAAACTGATTCAGCGCCCCACCACTCCAGGAAGTCACTCTATCGCTTCGACTCTTGCTGATTGCTGAGTGGTCCGCCTTCCTCGCACATCCGCCCCATCCTCCTTCCCGCTCCCTTCCCCTGCCCCTCCCCTCTTGAGCACTAAGCAACTGAAACGACACCACTCTATCGCTTGACTCTTGCTGACTGCCGGGTGGCTCGTCGTGGTGGCAAATCCTCCCCCATGCTCCTTCTCACTCCCTTCCCCTGCCCCTCGTCACCTTGCACCACCCCTCTGTACCCCTTCCCCCTGCCTTCTCTGGCTGCGGATTCGGTCTCAGATCCTCCCTTCCATCTTCCTTCCGCGCCTTGCTGATTCCCATCTGCTGCTTCTCCCTTCCTACCCTTTCCAACCCTTCCTTTCTCCACTGCTGCACACTGATCGTTCTCCTTCATGACACCCCCCTTCTTCTTTCCCCGACCCCTTCCCTCTCCATCCTTCCCACACAAGCCCGCCTCCTCACTCTCACCCTCCTCTGTTTCTCTCACCCTCTCCACCTCACTCTCACAACCCCTTCCACCAACCTCTCCCCCTTCCCTCGTCAATCTCTCCTGAAATCTCATACTCCCCCCACCACCAACCCTCCCCTTCCCCACTCCATCCCCATCCTCCTCCTGTGCCCCCCTGCCACGCCCCACGCCCCTCCTCTCTCTCACTTTCGGCACACTAACAGTCCTCAGGATAGGCGTCTTGTTCCCATGCCCTTCCACATCCCTAATAATAGCTGCTGCAGTCGCTGCTGCCTGCACTGCTGCTCGTGCTCGCTCCTCCTCTCGCTGCTCCTCTCCTTCCTCTTCCTCTCCCCGCCCTTCCCCTTCCTCCTCTGTACCTGCCAACCCGCTCCTGCTAAACCTCTCGTCTCCGAGCCTGCTTCTGCTTCGAGATCTGGTCCGGCTGGGAGGATTGGGAGTGACAAAGAGTGGGCTGCACAGCGTGCTAGCAGATAGCCCGTTGGAGTGAGCAGCGGCAGCAGCGGCAGCAGCAGCAGCCCCAGCAGAGGCAGAAGCTGTAGCAGCATTCCCAGTAGATGCCATAGCAGCAGCCGCAGCAGCAGCAGGAGTGCCAACAGCAGCAGCATCATCACTGCCACCTGCTGAATTTTTGTCCTTGGTTGGAGTTTGAAACTCGGCTGACTTTCTCCCTCTCCTTGCCCCTGCTTCCGCTCCTCCACTCCCTTCCTCTCCACTCTCCTCTCTCGCCACTGCTGCAGCATCAGCAGCTTCAGCAGCACCAGCAGACACAGCAGCAGGTGTAGCAGCAGTGGCGGCAGCAGTGGCAGCAGCAGCTGCAGCAGCTTCCCCTTCACCTCCACTACTACCACCACCACCACCAGCACCACCAGCAGCAACACCACCACCAACACCACCAGCAGAATCACTACCGGCAGCCCTGGCAGCTGCAGCAGCTCTAGCCCGTGCGGCCTCGTGCTTCTGAATGTCATACACAAGCTCTTTCCCCAGCTGCGGATCCGCCGCTAGCAAGTCCTCAATCTCCTCCTTATACTCCTTGAACAAGCACCGCAGACACGCCATCAGCGCCCCCTGCAGCGGGCTGTTCCGAGCCTCCAGCAGCCTCTTGAGCTCGATCAGAACAGGAATGGTGTTCTCGACCAGATTCTTCTTCATCAGCTGAGTAACCACCCGCCCCTTCAAAGCATTCGCCAACGCCCCAGCTCCTCCTCCTGCTGCTCCTCCTCCTGCCCTCCCGCCACCACTGCTACCTCCTCCCCCTGTAACCCCGCCTGCGCTTCCTCCTGCCTCCTCCTCCCCGTCCTCCTCCGCACCTGCGGCCTTGCCCGAGCCTGGGCGCATCTCCTTGCATGAGAGCACGTCCAGGGCGTCCCCTACCACGGCTTGCACCGAGGGGCAGGAGAGCGGCAGGGCGCCGTCTAGCAAGGGCGCGAGCACCTGTTGGTAGGGGAAAGGTTTGCAGGCAGGATAAGGTGGTGTGAGAATAGGGATGCTGCACCCAGATTCAAACAAAGCATCCCCCACCACGGCTTGCACAGAAGGGCAGGAGAGAGGCAGGGCGCCGTCTAGTAAGGGCGCGAGAACCTGTAGAGGTAGGGGAGAGGTTTGCAGGCAGGATAGAGCAGTGTGAGAATATTTTAGGCGCCTCAAGAACCGTCCTCGTCCGCGCCTGCCGCCTTGAATGAGCCTGGGCGCATCTCCTTGCATGAGAGCACGTCCAGGGCGTCCCCTACCACGGCTTGCACGGAGGGGCAGGATAGCGGCAGGGCGCCGTCTAGCAAGGGCGCGAGCACCTGTTGGTAGGGGAAGGGTTCGAAAGCAGGACATAGTGGTGTGAGAAAAGGGATGCTGCAATCAGATCCACAATGTAACGTCCAGTGCGTCCCCCGCCACGGCTTGCACCGACGAGCAGGAGAGCGGCAGGGCGCCGCCTAGTAACGGCGCGAGAACCTGTTGGTAGGGAGGAGGTTCGGAGGCAGGATATAACGTTTAAAGAATTGCGATATTGCAACAAAACCAAATGTTCAGAGCGCCCCCCACCACGGCTTGCACCTAGGGGCAAGAGAGCGGCAGGGCGCCGCCTAGCAAGGGCACCAGCACGTGTAGGCAGGGGAGAGGTTTGCAGACAGGATGAAGTGGTGTGAGAACAGATATTTTATACCTGTAGGCAAGGTTGCGAGCATGTGTAGGAAGGAAAATGGGGAGTAACGTGAGTACCAAGGTGTCTACAGGCTATGGAGAGAGGTAGAGGCAGCAGCAGCAGCTGCAGGCAGGGGGACGAGGAGCAATGAAAGCGATGCTAGAGGCTCCTGCAGACTCTAAGAGTACATTAGCGTGACAGAGCTTGGCGGGGAGTTTTTTGAGACGTCTCAAAACACTCCTCCTTTCAATTAGCGTGAGCAACGGCCCTACCTGAAGACAGAGCTTGGCGGGGAGGGGCCCACCTGTAGGCAGAGCTTGGCAGAGAGAGCGAGATGGTGCTCTCGAGCCATGAGGCGGAGTAGAGTGCGGTACACAGTGGTTCGTGCCACGTGGCGAGATGGGCCGCTGGTGGGGAAGAGGACGGAGGGGAGACGAGGGGAGGCAGTGGAGAGAGGAGGTTATGAGATGAAGGGAACGCGGTACACAGTGGTTCTTGCTGCATGGGGAGAGGGTTGTCGGCTGGAAATGAGAGAAGGTGAGACAGAATACAGGGGAGGAGATGGAAACGGAGGGGAGACGGGAGAGAGGAATTTTGTAGAAAAAAGCAGAGAGGAAAAATCCTGCTAAAGATTTTTGTAGAAAAAGCAGAGTGGGAGCGGTGATTAGGCATGGACACACGTAGATGCTGCAAAAACGCGAACAGAGAAACAGGAATGGCCAAAGCGGGGCAAGAACCAGCCCTCCTCCTCACCGCAATAAGAAGTGCTCTAATTCTCCATCCAAGCCCTACCTGCACCCCTCCCACTCCGGCCCCTTCTCTTCCCTGGCCTCCCCTCGTCCTCACAAACGCCCTCGCTGGGTTTTGAGACGTCTCAGAACTCACCTCAATGAGTTCATCCAAGCGCTCTAGCTCTTCATCCAAGCCCTCCCTCCCTGCCCCTGCGCCCCTCCCACTCCGCCCCCTTCTCTTCCCAGTCCTTTCCTCCTCCTCACAGATACCCTCGCTGGGTTTTGAGACGTCTCAAAACTCACCTCAATGAGAAGCGCTCTAAATCCTCATCCAAGCCCTCCCTCTCTGCCCCTGCGCCCCTTCCACTCCGCGCCCCTCTCTTCCCTGGCCAGCCATCTCCCTCATGGATGCCCTCGACGGGAGAACTTGAATTGGGGCAGTTGGGTTGCGATGGATCGCAGGGGGCAGCTTTGGAGGAGCCAGGATTGGACGAGCTAGGGTTGGCTGAGGCAGGGTTGGGAGGGCTGGAAGAGGAGGGTCGAGGGCCGGAGGAGGGGAGAGGCGGGGCGGTGGTAGTAGAGGAGGGGGCAAAGGGGCAGGCGTTGAGAGCAAAGAGGGCTTCTATGAAGATGTTGTATGGCACGAGGGGCACACGGCCTGTGGAGGGGTGGACAGAGGTGGAGAGGGGTGGAAGGGGTGGGAAAGGGATGGAAAAGGGTGGAGAGGGGTGAATAGGGATGTGACCGAAAATTGGTGGTTGAAGAGGGGGCGAAGGGGCATGCATTGAGTGCAACAAAGGCTTCGATGAATATGTTGTAGGGCACGAGGGGCACACGGCCTGTGGATGGGTGGGGAGAGATGGAGAAGGGTGGAAAGGGGTGGAGAGGGGTGAATAAGGAAGGAGCAGAGCCGTGGTGGTGGAGGAGGGGGCGAGGGGGCAGGCGTTGAGAGCAAAGAGGGCTTCTATGAAGGTGTTGTAGGGCACGAGGGGCACACGGCCTGTGGAGGGGTGGACAGAGGTGGAGAGGGGTGGAAATGGGTTGCGAGTGTAGGTGTAATGGGGCATCGGATGCATGCTTTGAGATGCAGAGAGGGCTCCACATGAAAACTTTGTAGTAAAGGTGGTAGAGAGGCGCAGGTGACTCGCAAATCATCACCATGACTGATTTGGGAAACATGCGACTGAGACTCCGTCCATTAAAAAAAAAAAGCAGCATGTGCAGAAATACAGCAACACAGAACCCGTCCCACCCCTCTGCAGCAGCCCTGCCAGCAGCCACACTTCGCTCACAGAACCCTTCCCACCCCTACCCAGCCCCATTCCCGTCCTTATCACTTACGGGGAACAACATGTGTGAAGATGTGAAGGGCCACGTCCCTGATGGCACTGCTCTCATCCACAATGCACAGCAGCACGCGCAGCACCAGCGCCCCACGCCTCTTCACATAGTCCTTCTGCAGCAGCCCTGCCAGCAGCCACACTCCACTCACACAACTCCTTCCCAACCCCCCAAGCCCATTTACCATCATTTTGACTCACGAGGAACGACGTGTGTGAAGAGATAAAGAGCCACCTCCCTAATCGCCTGCGACTCATCCACAATGCACAGCAGCACGCGCAGCACCAGCGCTCCACGCCACTTGACATAGTCCCGCTGCAGCAGCCCCGCCAGCAGCACGAGCGTCTGCCGCCTCACGAGCTCGCAGGGGTCGCGCAGGCAGGCAGAGATGCAAGGCACGTGGGGGTCCACGAGGGCCGTGTAGCGCACACAGAGGTCTGTGAGAATGATGACCAGGTTGTTGCGCACTGAGGGGAGTGGGCTTCGTTGCAGCTCCTGTTGGGAGCAAGGGTTGGGAAGGGGTTGGGAGAGGGTTGGGAGGGAGTTAAAATGCAGGCAGGCGGAGATTCAGGGCACGTGGGGGTCGACGAAGGCGGTGTGGCGCACACAGAGGTCTGTGAGAATGATGACCAGGTTGTTGCGCACTGAGGGGAGTGGGCTTCGTTGCAGCTCCTGTTGGGAGCAAGGGTTGGGAAGGGGTTGGGAGAGGGTTGGGAGGGAGTTAAAATGCAGGCAGGCGGAGATTCAGGGCACGTGGGGGTCGACGAAGGCGGTGTGGCGCACACAGAGGTCTGTGAGAATGATGACCAGGTTGTTGCGCACTGAGGGGAGTGGGCTGCGCTGCAGCTCCTGTTGGGTGCAAGGGTTGTGAGAGGATTGGGAATAAGTTGGGAGTGGGTTAGGAGTGGGTTGGGAGGTCGTTAGGAGGCAGGCGAAGATGCAGGACACGTGTGGGTCCACGTGAGGTCAGTGTAGCGCACAGAGAGGTCCGTGAGATCGACCACCAGGTTGTTGCGCACTGACGGGAGTGGGCTGCGCTGCAGCTCCTGTTGGGTTCAGGAGGAGGGTTGGGAGAGGATTGGGAGAGGGTTGGGAGAGGTTTGAGAGGTCGGGAGATATTTGGAAGGCCTGAAAGCACGTGGTGGCTGACGAGAGTGGTGCAGCGCATACCAGGCTGTTGCAGATTGACTGGAGGACCCGTCAATCTGCACTGAAACAGAGGGAAGGGAAAACAGCAAAGGAGGAGGTTGATGCTTGCCTGGACGAAGAGCGGCACGCAGGTCTTGGCGAGTGAGTGGTCCACCAGAGAGAAGCGACCCAGAGCCAGCCACCCATGCGCCAACACTGGCACCCGCACCCCTGCTGCTGCTCCTTTTGCTGCTGCTGCTGCAGTCCCAGGGTTGGTTGCAGCGGCGGGAGCAGCAACGGGTACTGGTGGTGCCGCTGAGGAATTGGAATTCCCCAGAAGCAGCTCCAGAAGGCACTGAAATGCTTCTTTCAGCGCACTCTGCAGCAACACCAGCTGCTCACACTCACTCGCTCCCCTTCTGCTGGCCCCACCTCTTCCCTTGCTCTTCCCGCTCCACCCTTGCCTCCCACCGGCAGCAGCACCTCTATCGCCACCACTGTCACCATCAACACCAGCCACAGCTGCAGCAGTCGCAGCAGCAGCGGGAGCCCCAGCAGCGGCGGCCCCAGCAGTGGCTGCGCCTGAAGCAGCAGCAACAGCGAGTGTCTCTGCGAGTTCCCCAGCAATGAGTGCCAGCTGGCCGCACACAAACACTGCACACTCCACCCTCTGCCCCCAAGGCTGCCCGTCTGCCCCCTCCTCCAGCTCCTCCTGCTGCTGCTGCTCCTCCTCCTTCGCCTCATCCTCCTCCTCTGGCTGCCCCTCCTGCTCCTCCCGCTCCTCCTCTCCTCGCTGCTGTTGCTGCGCCCTCACTTCCTCCCTGTTCTGGCCAGGGCTCCCCTGCCAACTTTGACCTGCTTTGAGCTGGGATTGTATGATCGCTGTGGCTTGCCGGCACAGCTCCAGGCACCAAGCAGCAATGGTTGCTTCCGGTGATTCGTTCACACAAGGTACTGCTTCGGCTGCTCCACCAGTTCCCGGGACAGGAATGCTGCTGTGACCTCTGTAGCTGTTGTTGCTGTTGCTATTTTTGCTGCTGTTTCTGTTGCTGATGTTATTGCTGTTGTTGCCGCTGCTTCTGCCACTGCTCCTGCTGCCAGTGGCTGCATGTCGGTTGAGAGTGGCAAGGGCGACCATGTGCACCCCAGCCTGTTTGCAAGGAAACAACGGGGACAGATTAAGCTGAGTTGCAGAAAGCAAAAATGGAAAATCATCCCATTTACAAGTGCTGCCAGACCAGCGAAAGGATTCTGCTAGCTTAGATGGCCGTGCACTCTCACGATATTGGAGAGGGCACAGCTAGAGCGTCATAAAGGGCTGGCGTGGCAAAGGGGTAGAGAGCGGCTGTATCCCAAAACGAGTAAGCAGGTGCAGCCTGGGGCAACCAGCATGCTCTGACACACTCCACAACAGGACAAACCGGGCCAATTGCAGCGCCTCACCTCTTCTGGGGACAGCTGGAAGCTCCGCAGGTTGTGCAGCAACCCTGCTGCCACGTCAGCAGCTTTCTCCCCTGGGATCCGTGCAGCAACGTTGCAGAGAGCCTTGAGCACATGCACTTGCGCCTCCCTCTCCTGCCCGTCCAGCACTTCTGCCTCCTTTACCTGCCCGTGCAAAACTCCTGCTCTTCTCTCCTGTCCGCCCAAGTCCCTGGAACCAAAACCTGGAGTTGCACTCTCAGCAGCATCGTGATCAAGAGCAGGTGTGGCAGAGACCGACTCAGGACGAGCAGCTCTAGCTTCCTGCTGCTTCCTGCCGTCCCTCCATCTGGAAATCAGAAACTCCCATCTGACCCCCTGTGGCGAGAAGGAGGTGACTTCCAGCATTAACAGCCACGCGCCCCTCACCACCCACCTCCACACCCTGCTGGGACTGCCCCCCTTCACACCTGCTGCCTTTCCTACTGAACTTCCCTTCCCATTCGGCTGCTGCTGCTGCTGCTGCTGTGGTTGCTGCTGCGCATTCTGCCATCCCTCGGCTGCTTCAATCACCGCCTGCAGCCCTTCCACGAGCCTCGCGTGGAGCGCGTTTCGCCTTGCCAGAACCGCACATGCGCGGTGCAGCAGCGGCACCACCGACGAGCTCCCTTGCCCAACCGCCATCAGCCACGCCACTACACTTCGCACTGACCCTTCAGCGACTACTGGTGCTCCTGCTTCTCCTGCTGCTGCGTTTCCTCCTCCTGCTGCTCCAGCACCCTCTCCCCCAGCGGCCCGCCCACACACCTCACAGACTCCCTCCCCTTCACAGAGCACAGGGGCAGGAGGCACCCCCCTCCTCCCCACACACACGTGCAGCGGCCTATCCTTGCACAGACTCATCCTCGAAGCCGCAGAGGGGCGGGGAGACGCGGAGATGAGGCCGAGGGGTTGGAGGAGCAGGGAGGAGAGGAGGTCTAGCGCCTGGTCCTGCACAGTGGCCTCGTTGTCGAGAATGAGAACGAGCGCGGACTGCAGCCACTTGGCGCGCAGCCACACGTGGCCTGGGTTTGACATGGTCAACTGAGAGGGCACAGGGAGAAGGGAAGGGAAGGAAAGGAGGAACGAGGAGAGGAGATGAGAAGGCGAGGAGGTCGAGCGCCTGGTCTTGCACAGTGGCCTCTTGTCGAGAATGAGAACGAGCGAGGACTGCAGCCACTTGGCGCGCCACCACACGTGGCCTGGGTTTGACATGGTCAGCTGAGAGGACAAAGATAAGGAGAAGGGGAGGAAAGAATGGAACACACTGGCTTCAACAAGGAGGTCGAGCGCCTGGTCTTGCACACTGGGCTCGTTGTCTAAAATGAGAACGTGCGCAGACTTCAGCCACTTGGATCGCAGCCACACGTGACTTGGGTTGGACATTGTAAACTGAGAGGACAAGGGCGGCGAATGGGTGAAGGAAATGGAAGCAGGAAGAGGAGAGGATTTCAGATCTGGACTGGAGACAGGGTTTGACATTGTCAACTGAATGGACAAGGGAAGGGAAAACAAGGGAAGTGAAGGGAAGGAAACCACGGAGAAGAGGAGATGAGAAGGCGAGAAACCGGACATCAAACAGCATAACAAGGAGCTCAAGGATGCAAGGCAAACGCTGAACCCAGAAACTGGTTCTCCTTGTGATGACTGTACCTTGGACAGCGCCGTGAGAGCCACCCTCCGGACACTCAGCAGCGAGTCAGAACACAGCTCCCCAATGGCATCCACCAGCTCCTCCCTCAGTAACTTTTGGCTTATGGTGGCCTATGGTGATCGTACCTTTGACAACGCGTTGAGAGCCACCCTCCGGACGCTCAGCAGCGAGTCAGAGCACAGCTCCCCAATGGCATCCACCAGTTCTTCTCTCAGCGGCAGCCTCGACAGCCCAACAAGTTCCTCCAGAGCCCCCACCGCCGCCTTGCGCACGAGCCCCTTCTCGTCCTCCAAACGCCTCCTCACCATGCCCAACACCTCCTCAACGCTCAGAACCGACCCACCCGTCCCAGCTCCCAATGCTTCTCCAGGCTCCGATTCCCCACTCAGCCCGGACCCACGGCCAATACTTGCGTCAGGCTCGGCTTGTGCATGAGTATGAGGATGAGTAGGAGCATGAGCATGGGCATGAGCATGACCAGCAAGTACAGCGTCCAGGAGCGAAGGGCGTCCTTTCAGAATCCGAAGGGTCGCAGTGAGCGCCACAAGGGCTCGGGCGCGCACAGTGGGACTGGCGTCCGAGGCCCTACGAAACATGAGCTCCAAACAGCCGCCAACACGGCTGATCAGAACGTCTCTCACGCTTCCATTCCCGCTGCTATCCCCAGACTCTCTGCTGTCATTCCCAACCCCCGTGCCATTTCCACTCTCCCTGCCACTGTGAGCATCTCCTTCCGAAGCTGACCCCTGACTCAGACTCACTTCATCCCCCTTGTCGCCCTCTCCATCTCCCCCCTCCCTCCCAGACTCAGTCCCCCTTTCCCCACTGGCTGCCTCCCCACTCCCCTTCTCAATCCCTGGATCCCCCCCTTCCCCATCACGACTCCCACCCCCACCACCCTCTTCCATAGCCCCCGACCCCATGCTCCCTTGCCCCCTTACCCCTCTCCCCCACGTCATTGCCATCCGTTCAACCAGAGCAGCACTTAGATCCAGAGCCACCACCCTCGCGGCTGCCCTATCAACCCTCGCCAGCTTCCCCACGAACAGAAAAAACCCCTCCCTCTCCTTCCTCCCCACCGTTTCGTACACCTTCATAACTGCTTCCACCGCCGCCGCCCTCCCTTCCGCTCTCTCTGGCGCATGCAGGCACAGGTAACGCATCAGAGACTCAACCGCGGGGACACTCTCCTTTGGCGCTTTCGTGAGAATATCGGATGTGACAAAATCGAGGGCGCGGGACCGCAGCAGCGAGGGGGAAACCAGGCTCGGAGCTTTCGAGCTGTTGCTGCTGGTGGCGGTGACGTCAGCGTGCGTCATGAGGATGTGCGGGCCAATGGCCAAGAGGATACAAGCGGCTGTGTCAAGCGGCTTGCCATGCTGCGGATCCGTTAACTGGAGGTAGGGTGTGCATCGACAGGGGGAGACGAGTGGGACGTACAGGGGGAAACGAGTGGTTGGACAGGGGACGGGTATCTATCGACTTCAAGGAAAACAGATCAACAATGGCACACAAATTCCCTTGAAGAGGAGAGAGCCTTACTGGCGGAGATAAACAGATAAACAATTTACTTTAGCACTCGTACGGATATACCTTGAGAAGCATACGGTACGGAAGTCTCCAGGCCTCCACCGTACGGCCTCCGCCCACCGAAACCCTCGTCCGATCAGCACCGGCGTATCCCTTCCTGCCTCCCTCCACCCGCTGTTGATCGTCTAGCAAAAATCGTGTGGCCTCCACGAGCATCCCCAGCAGGGACTTACGTGTTTCGCTCTGATTCGCCAGTTTCAGAACGTCGAGTGCTTGGGAGAGGTAACCCAGGACAGACAGCAGAGTCACGCCGAGCCTGCTCTGAGTCTCGTCGCCACCCGGCTGGTTACCATCTTCGTCCATCATGTCGCCCGTTTCGTCGTCCTCATCGCTTCTCAACGACGACTTTCTATGCTTACTTGTACCTTTTCCTTTCCCGTGGTTCTTGTTCCTCCCGCCGTTAGCCTTCGGTACATCAGTGTCAACACTCGCGGAACCGGAAATTATAACCTGTCGAAGGGCCTGTACCATTGCGCTAAAAGCGAGCGGATTGAAGATGCTATAAACGGGGCAGTTGGGCAGCAGAAACAGGTTGAGGAAAACCGCAGCAGCTGTGAGCCTGACGACGGTAGGCTTCTGAGAAGATTCCATCGTAATGCGGAGAGATTCGACGACGGAGGACGCAGAGACCCCAGTTGATGCGAGCGACTCCCAGATCTGCGAACGAAACGGAGGAAAGGTGAGATTTCTGTTTCACAGTCTCGCATGTCAGACTATGGGAAAAAACGCTCAGAAGAAAAACAGATTCTGGCGAATACTCTGAAATCTGCAAGAAAATCTTCGACAGAAGAACAATGCGGGATTATTTTGAGACGAAGAAAATCGAGGCGACAATAAGATTCGGAGCAAAGAGCTGTAAAAATGTGCAGCGGCGAGGAATATTAAGCTCCCAGGGTGAACAAGCATGTGACAAGAGAGGGAGAGAATTCGTGCAAGATAGAGAGAAAGAGGCGCACCTCTTGCTCCTGTTCGTCGTGTGTGTAGGACAGCATGTGCTCGAGCAGATTCTCCATTTCTGCGAGAGTCAGCGGCTCTTGAGTGATGTTCTTCTCTCCAGAAACGGAAACTTCGCCAGGACTCCTCGCCATGGCGTGCACGAGCTCGGTGGTCCGCAAACTCATAGCTAGTGACGTCCGCGAAGACATAGCTAGTGATGTCTTAGACTTGAGAAGTCGATTATTCTCACGACTCTTGAACTCGTGACGATCGTGGGTAACTGCTACTCTTGAATCGATCAATGCTGACGCTTAGCACCAAGGCAACCATGAATAATGACAAGTTGCCAGTTTTTGCAAAACGAGATGCTTGCCAGTTTTTGCAAAACGAGATGCTTTGCAGATCAACCTTGCGGTTCATACGGTACGACATGATTTGCAGCCATACGGTAGTGGTAGAAAACGCAGTATCAGTCCACGGACCAGAAGCCATGAGAAGCATGATCAATCTATAGGCTCTGCTGCTGTAGCTTTTGTGGAATTGAGCCTTGCCTTGGGAATTCACTGGCGGAACAGCTTGGTCCATGAAAACAGCATCGAGTTGGGTTTACGATTCAGCGGGGCGTGAGTGCCATACCCTAAGAACCGAAGCGTAAACGCTCCGAATCGTGCTCTATGTGTAATGCACCCTCCTAATGTCCCCGCGTTTCGGGATTGTCCACAACACAACTCAGCTCCATGTCAGAGCATCTCAGTTCAAAATTCCCGCCAGCCTTCTGATCGGTCAGGAAGCGCTCTGACAGCAGCCAATTCACTATATGTTATGCTCCACTACACCAATACTACTCCAAATTTGACGTTGATCCCTTTACATCCCACCTCTTAAAGGTTATACTAATTGGATTAGACAGGAACGTAAATTGAGGGTTGTTGGAGTATGAAAGGAATAGAGTTTAAAGCCCGCATGCAAAATAGTGACCCCCATCCCAACTTGAAAGAGGTGTTGCGACATAGTTTTTTTAAGAGAAGCGAGAGTGAAACAAGTCTGACAAAACACTGCTTGAAACAAATCGTGCAGGCATAGTGAGCTCATGTGATTGGCTCTAAGCCAAGATGGGATGTTGTGGCTCCCGCCAGAATGGACTTTCCCGCTCACATTTCTGCGACCTGCACTTGCACAACCGTTCCCTGGGAATGGTTTCCATCGCCCTGGCGATGGGTTCCATCGCAAGGTCCAACTTCAATATCAAGTTGGTCCTGGGTTCATAACTGCCTGATTTTCTACTCCCTTGCCTTACTAGTTTTTTGCCACTCATAGTATAGCGGAAAGCTTACCAGGTGCTTGTGTCATAGGCACTAAATTATCGACGACCACGTTTTCCCGCCAAAAGCGCAATCGTCAACCTCCTCGTCGCCCATGTTTCCTTTCCCTCGCCGCGTTATCTCTCCCTACCTACAACCCCCCTTTATCTAACATTTTTACACCCGAAACGACTCAGCATCGTATTACTCGCATTGCAAGGCCTCGCGCAACTTATCGCACCGCTTTCCAACGCCATTTCCGATCCGCTCGCTTAGTATAGCCCTCCCGCCGTTCTTCCTCGCTCTTTTCCCATGACCCTCCTCGTTTCCGTGCCGCTCTCGCCAAGTCGACCTCCCGTCGCTCTTCCACTCGCCCCTGCCATCACCCACCTCGTCGCCACCACGCTCGCCTCGAATAGCCCTCCCATCTCGTCACTCCCCTCGTCTCCCCACCTACTATCACCCATCCCAGGAAAACCCTCTTGTCGCCCTCCTTCTCTCCCCTACCATCACCAACCTCGTCACCCTCGCGCTGGTCCCGAAACGCCCTCACGGCGCCCTTTCTCACTCCCCTTCAGTCACTCACCTCGTCGCCTATGTGCTCGGCCTGAAACGCCCACGTCGTTGTCCGTTACGTCGCCCTCGCGATCTCATCACCCACCCCATCGCCACGCGCTCGCACGAAACGCCCTCTCGTCCCTAAACCCGATTTCCCCTCCCATCGCCCACCTCGTCGGCTTCCGCGCTCGCCCCGAAATGCCCCCCCGTCGCCTTTCTTCTTCCCCCTCCCATCACCCACCTCGTTGCCTACGCTCTTGCTTTAAAACGCCCTCAACATGTCCTTCCTTCCCTCCCCTCCCATCACCTGTCCCGTCGCCTTCGCGCTCTCCCCGAAACGTCCTCACATCACCTTTCTTCCTCTCCTTTCCTATCACCCACCTCGTCGCCCTTGCGCTTGCCTCGCATCGCCCTCCCGTCAGCCCTCCTAACTCCCTTCCCATTACCCGCCTCGTCGCTCTCGCGATCACTCCGAATCGTCCTCCCGTCGCCTTGCCTCTCTCCCTTTCCGCTCACGTCATCCCCTCCCATCGGCGTCGCGCTCACGTTCTCACCTTCCCCCGCCATCGCATCACCGTCGCGCTCATGGTCTCCCCTCCCATCACCTTCGCGCTCAGAAACTCCCCTCCCTTCTCCCAAGCACCACACATTATCCCCTCCCCTCGCCATCGCGCTCACGTTGCCCGTCTTCGCATCGCCTTCGCGCTCATGGTCTGCCCTCCCATCACCTTCGCACCCATGGTCTCCCCTCCCATCCCCCTCGTGCTCACGTTCTCTCGTCTCCCGTCGCCTTCGCGCTCGCACCTCCCGTCCCGTACCGTCGCCCTCGTGCCGTCCCCCCCCCAATGCCCGTCCCATCACCCAACCAGTAACTTTTGCCCCCTTATTCTCTCCCCTCACGTCTTTGTTTCCGTCAGCCTCTCACTCTCCCCTTCCGACTCCCTGACTCTCCTTGTATATGTCCTCTGCACCCATCACACCCCGAACCCATTCCTACAGCTCTCGCTTTTTACAGAAGGCTCGGGCGCTGCCAATGCAAGTGTTTGGCTCTGCGTTTGATCATTTCCTCGATGTCGAAATGAGAATGTGAATGTGGCACGAATGTGAAATTGGCACCGCTCGCGACACATTTGCCCAGCCCTGCGACCATTTTCCTCGATCAGAATTGGAAAGATGGTTCAGTATCAGGAAAAAAAGAAAAAGTGCAACACATTACACCCTACAAACAAAACCTCTGAATCGGTGTATCAAGTGGACCCAACTAGAAGGGGGGGGTCACTATTTTGCATACGGGCTTTAACATTCCCGTAGGTGCAGCCGTATCGCCCCCGTCATTATCGAAGCAGTGCTAGTAGCAGTATCAGATCAGCTCCTTGGGTAGGAAGGTCAACAGTCGCAAGAGTCAATTGTCGCAAGAGTCAACTGTCATGACTGTTGACCATGTGGACCGACAATTGACCCACCATCGAGGAATGGCAATAGGCGTAACCGTCTATACGGTTACACGCATCGACTCGGTAACAAGAAGAAGTGCAATAGTCGGAGTCACTCTAGAAATGTTTGTAAAACAGTTAGAATAAGGGAATGTACCTCTCAGAGTACATGGCTAGCAAGATCTATATATTCTGTGTGTAGTCTATGTTTTAATCAACTTTGTCATTTAAATTCATTATAAGCACGGTTCCTACCACAAGAATTCCGCTACCAAACTCTCTAAGGCATTCCTATCCTACCGTCAGCCCCCGGATAGAAGCGCCCCTGGAGGTATAAAAAAACACTGTTTTTTAGGGGGTGCGCTTATAATTGAGGAATTTTATAAGCGCCGGCGCTTATAAAATGGCAAAAAGAATATATATTTGTTTTACACCAAACTATATATCTCGTTCTGCCGATTGTAATCGAGTCAAAAACATATAGGGTTGCAAATCTGATTCTCGCGCAGCTTGGCAGGGAGTGATTCCCTGCCAACTCACCCTGACAGAATTACAGCACATGCTGACTAGTCGCGCAAAAAGTGAGTTCAGAGTGTGGGAAATCGAAATTGTAGTTCGTCTCCCTGATTATGTGAAATTCGTTTCTGAAATTTGAAAGGTTTTCAAATGAAAAACAAACATGCGCTTATAATATATCATCTTTTTCTAGGGGGTGCGCTTGTAATCGAGGACCGGATATAAGCGCCCTCATCTTTTTATAAGCGCCGGCGCTTATCCGAGGCCTGCGCTTCTATCCGGGGGCTTACGGTATCCAAAATTCTCACTCTAACAAGGATGCTAATATAATGGACAGCCAATCAACTCGTTCAACTGAGTTGAGACACCATTATTTCACAAACATTTTTTAACGAACGATGCAAAACCAAATTTCGTGTTTCCGTCATCCACTGACTGGATTAGAAGCCATGTAGGCGATTATGTGGGTAAAATGGCCATATTGCATGATCTGAGGGCAACCGACATCACATCGATTGGTTCAAACTACTAACCACACCAACATATTATCTGTTCGATGCAACTACTTAAGCAGCTTTGTGGGGCTGCTGGTGAGCGTCATGCTGTCGTATTTGATCAACATTATAACCATGAAGAGCGTCGGCAAGGCAACTTATACGCCCACTACCACATTCATACCTCGAGAACAATGCTCCACCTACCCCCTGCCTGTGCGCATGTCTCCCATGTAGGTGGCCGCCATGCTCCCATACTGGTTTACAGCCATGCCTTTGAAAAGCATGGGCAAGGCAGCTTACTCCCCTTTCCCCATTGCCTATTTCCCCTTTACCCGTCAGACATTTGTGGGGCTACAAATGATGCTCGCAACCCTCCCACGCCCTTGCTGGCTTGGTAATAGGCCCAGACATGCGCAGCCACGTGGCTTGGCGGAAGAAAAACGCCCGGAACGAGCGCTTCCATCCCCAAAACACGGACGGATCCGCACATGTGCAGGAAGTGCAGCAGGCGCTCTTCATTCGCGAACGCCGATAACCGACCATGCTCGCAACCCTCCCACGCCCTTGCTGGATTGGTAATAGGCCCAGACAAGCGCAGCCACGTGACCCTGCGCAAGAAAAACGCTCAAAACGACCGCTTCCAGCCACAAGAAGCGGAAGGATCCGCACATGTGCAAGGAAGTGCAGCGGGTGCTCTTCGTTCACGACCACCGATGACCGATTATGCTTGCAGCCCTCCCACGCCCATGCTGGCTTGCTAATAGGCCCAGAGAAGCGCAGCCACGTGACCCGGAGGAAGAAAAATGTTCGAAACAAGCGCTTCCAGCCCCAGAACGCAGAAGGATCCGTACATGTGTGAGAATTGCAGCGGGCGCTCTTCGTTCGCGAGCGCCGATGACCGATGATGCTTGCAACCCTCCTACGCCCATACTGGCTTGGTAATAGGCACAGAAAAGCGCAGCCACGTGACCCGGCGCAAGAAAAACGCTCGGAAAGAGCGCTTCCAGCCCCTAAACGCGGAAGAATTCGCACATGTGCAAGAAAGTGCAGCGGGCACTATTCTTTCGCGAGCGCCGATAACCGATGATGCTCGCAACCCTCCCACGCTCATGCTGACTTGGTAATAGGCCCAGAAAAGCGCAACGACATGACCTGGCGGAAGAAAAACGCTCGTAACGAGCACTTCCAGCCCCAAAACAAGGAAGGATCCGAACGTGTGCGGGAAGTGCAGCGGGCGCTCTTCATTCGCGTGCGCCGACGACCGATGATGCTCGCAACCCTTCCACGCCCTTGCTGGCTTGGTAATAGGCCAAGAGAATCTCAGCCACGTGACCCGGTGGAAGAAAAATACTCGGAACGAGCGCTTCCAGCCTCAAAACGCGGAAGGATTCGCACAAGTGCAGGAAGTGCAGCGAGCGCTCTTCATTCACATGCGCCGATGATTGATGATGCTCGCAACCCTCCCACACCCTTACTGGCTTGGTAATAGGCCCAGAGATGCACAGCCACGTGACATGGCGAAAGAAAAACGCTCAGAACAAGCGCTTCCAACACCAAAACGTAGAAGGATCCGCACATGTGCAGGAAGTGCAGTGGGCGCTCTTTATTCGCGAGCGCCGATGACCGATGATGCTCGCAACCCTCCCACGCAGTTGGTGGCTTGGTATTAGGCCCAGAAAAACGCAGCCACGTGACCCGGTGGAGGAAAAACGCTCGGAAAGAGCGCTTCCACACCCAAAACGCGGAAGGATCCGCACATGTGCAGGAAGTGCAGCAGGCGCTCTTCATTCGCGAGAGCCGATGACCGGTGATGCTCGCAACCGTCTTTCGCCCGGTGGCTTGGTAAAAGGCCCACAAAAGCGCAGCCACATGACCAGGCGAAAGAAAAACCTCGGAACGAGCGCTTCCACCCCCAAAGCGTGGAAGGGTCCGCACGTGTGCAGGAAGTGCAGCGGGCGCTCTTCATTCGTGAGCGTCGATGACTGATGATGCTCGCAACCCTCCCACGCCCTTGCTGGCTTGGTAATAGGTCCAGACAAGCACATCCACGTGACTCGGCGCAAGAAAATATCTCGGAACGAGCGCTTCCAGCCCCAAAACGCGGAAGGTTCTGCACTTGTATAAGGAAGTGCAGCCGGCGCTCTTCGTTTGCGAGCGCCGATGACCGATGATGCTTGCAACCCTCCCACGCCCATGCTGCCTTGGTAATAGGCCCACACAAGCGCAGAAACGTTACCCGGCAGAAGAAAATTGCTCGAAATGAGCGCTTCCAGCCCCAAAACGCAGAAGGATCCGCACATGTGCAGGAAATCCAGCGGGCGATGTTATTTCGCGAGCGTCGATGACCGATGAGGCTCGCAACACTCCTACGCCCTAAGCCCGCCACACCGGCGACGCATTCATATCCATGTACACCCCTCTCACACCCTCCGCCAGTCTCCTCGAAATTTCATTATGCCCCGCGAACCTGTCCCAGTTGAATTGGCTTGGCGGAAGATTCAGACGCTTGTCAGAAAGCGGCCTTTTGTGCGTCCTGAAGTTGAGGTGCCCGGCGGGTTTGTTTCGCACAGTGATTAGCATCTCAGGGTGAGCCTTTCAGAGAGCCACCAGAGTCGAGAGCATTTGCCGCTTGAAGCTGTCGTCGGGTCTGTAGTGAACCCCTCGGTTGATAATAGTGACTGCCCCGGCGAGTTCATTGGCAGTAGCTCATCCAACTAGGACTCTCCGATGTTCGTATCCACCAGAAAGTCGTTCTCGTCTTCTGTAGAGTTGAGGTAGTAATCCCTGACGAACAAGAAACGGACGGGATAGCAGATGTCCCCTGTGGACGCGTTGGTGCAGCTGCTGTTTATCATGCTGCTGGGACTGCTCGTGCCCAACGGTGGCTGAGCTGAGAATGCATTCTCTGGCCGTTGGAGCAGCCATGGGGCTTGGGGGTCATGCTGAGAGCGGCTGACATGTTGAGAGCGCCTGACATGCTGGGAGCGCCTGGTGGTTTCTGCTGCTGGGGGTGGTGGTTACGTGTATGAAGAAGGGTTTTGAACGTCTCAAAACCCTTCTTCATACATGTGGTTTCTGCTGGTGTGGGTGGTGGTTTCTGCTGGTGGGGGTGATGGTTTCTGCTGGTGGGAGTGGTGGTTTCTGCTGGTCCTCTGTTGTGCTGCTGGGTGATGCTGCTACAAGGGGTTTAGGTTGAGGGGGAGTGGGGAAGGGGGAAGCAGCGGCGAGGGGGGGAGCAGGGACGAGAGGGAGGGGGGGAGCAGGGGCGAGAGGGAGGGGAGGAGCAGGGGCGAGAGGTAGGGGAGGAGTAGGGGCGAGAGGGAGGGGAGGAGTAGGGGCGAGAGAGAGGGGAGGAGTAGGGGCGAGAGGAAGGGGAGTAGGGGCGAGGAGTCATGAGGAGAGCGCATGCTGATTTTTGAGTCGACTAAAAAATGAGGAGAGGACATGCAGTCTGGTGGTTTGCCGGTGAAGTTGGTGAGTGTGGAGTTTCTGATTGTGATTTGTTGTTTCTCTTCTGTAAATGCAGCTAGATTTCTGTTTCTAAATCTATCTGTTGGCTGTGCTGTTTCTGCAGATGAATCAAGATGCAGTTTGAGATGACTAAATGTGTTGGACGCTTGTGTGGTCTGTGTAGGTGTGTGTGCATGTGTGTGTTCGCTTGTGGTGGAGTGCATGTGAGAGCGTGTTCCTACGGCCTCTAGTCAGGCTGGTCTCTTGTCAGAATTGGTCATTCGAGCGATTTCATTATTAATACCGCTTTTCAGACATCAAAACGAACACTGCCGCTTTTCAGACCATCAAAATGAACGCTGCTGCGCAATGAATTGAACATGCGAAACAGGGCCAGTCAATCGCGCGAAGGAACACCGTTTTGTCGGGTATGAAGCAACCAAAGTTTTTTCAGCTACCAAGCACACGTTTCGATCATTTGTGATTTGTCAGGACTCAAGACCTTAGTAGCAACCCTTCGAAAGGGGAGTTTTGTGCAGTGCCACGTCACCCACACATTATGTCTCTATTTTGACTGGAAATCCTAAAACGGTATTTATGTAAATACAGTATGGTGGACTGTGCAATAACTATCACACAATATGACAAATTTATCATTGATGCAGAGAGTTGAGCTACATAATATTGATTCAGATGGACGGTTGATGCAGTTGGACGGTTGACACAGATCGGACGGAAGTTGATGCAGACGGAAGTTGATGCAGACGGAAGTTGATGCAGACGGAAGTTGATGCAGACGGAAGTTGATGCAGACGGAAGTTGATGCAGACGGAAGTTGATGCAGACGGAAGTTGATGCAGACGGAAGTTGATGCAGACGGAAGTTGATGCAGACGGAAGTTGATGCAGACGGAAGTTGATGCAGACGGAAGTTGATGCAGACGGAAGTTGATGCAGACGGAAGTTGATGCAGACGGAAGTTGATGCAGACGGAAGTTGATGCAGACGGAAGTTGATGCAGATGGAAGTTGATGCAGATGGAAGGTTGATGTAAATAGAGGGTTGATGCAGATGCAGAGTGGTTGATACAGATACAGATGGGTTGATGTAGATGCAGATGGGAGGGTTGATGCAGATGGCACAGATGCACCCCCATATCACAATCATGCCCACACCCCCCACATGCACCCACCCACACATGCTGCCACAAACACAGCACCCACACACCCACATGCTCAGACGCAAACACATCACCACCACACACACACATGCACATCACCACCACACACACACATGCACATCACCACCACACAGACACACATGCACATCACCACCACACAGACACACATGCACATCACCACCACACACACACATGCACATCACCACCACACACACACATGAACAGATCACACATGCTACCACCACACACTTCCAACACATGTAGCAGTCTTGCCAGCTTCTCTTCATTCCTCTGCAGAACAGCAAGGACAAGAAGCAGAATGAAACATGAGCAGCTGCGATTTCAGTAGAGAAACAACAAATCACAGTATTTACAAATCTACTCACAATTGCCACCAGGAAACACCAGGTTGCAGCATGTTGCAGATCGCATCCACTCCCCTCCACTCTCTTTCCACTCCCCCTCACCCCTGCTCTCCCCGCTCCCCCTCCTGCTCTCCCTGCTTCCCCTCCCACTAAGTACCAGGCCACCTCTGCTCTCCCGTTCCCCCTCACCTCTCCCACACCCTTGCCCCACTTCACTCTGCCTCACCTCTGCTGCCCACTCCGCTCTGCACTCGGCCAACTCCCTCCCACTCTAAGTACCAGGCACCTCACATAGTTACACCGTCCCTTGTTGCACCCTACTCCCCACTCCCCCTCGCCCCTGCTCCCCCCTCACCACTCTCCTTCACTCTCGCTCCCCTCTCCTCCGCCCCTGCTCCCCTCTCCACTCTCCAGTCATACCGCATACCATCCACAGCATCCCATCCTGCATGCTGTTCCTTACATCAGCAGCCCGTTGTAGCATCCCCCCCACCCCCCTCATAGCAGCAGCACCAGCCCCTGTAACAGCACCACCCCTCATAATAGCAGCACCATCCCTCATAATAGCAGCACCACCCCTCTTACCAGCAGCACCACCCCTCTTACCAGCAGCACCACCCCTCTTACCAGCAGCACCACCCCTCTTACCAGCAGCACCACCCCTCTTACCAGCAGCACCACCCCTCTTACCAGCAGCACTCCCCCTTCTAGCAGCAGCACCCCTCTTAGCAGCACTACCCCTTATAGCAGCACTCCACCCTGTAGCAGCACTCCCCCCTGTAGCAGCACTCCCCCTTGCAGCAGCACTCCCCCTTGCAGCAGCACTCCCCCTTGCAGCAGCACTCACCCTTGCAGCAGCACTCCCCCTTGCAGCAACAACAACACCCCTTGCAGCAGCACTCCCCCTTGCAGCAGCACTCCCCCTTGCAGCAGCACTCACCCTTGCAGCAGCACTCCCCCTTGCAGCAGCACTCCCCCTTGCAGCAGCACTCCCCCTTGCAGCAGCACTCCCCCTTGCAGCAGCACTCCCCCTTGCAGCAGCACTCCCCCTTGCAGCAGCACTCCCCCTTGTAGCAACAACAACACCCCTTGCAGAAGCAGCCGAAGCGCGCACCACTCCCACCAGCAACCAGCACTAATGACCGCTCCTACCAACTAACAAAACTGAACACCATTCACCAACCACTCTAGCAACAACTATTATACATAGCAGAACTAATTGGCAAACAAAATAACAAACTAAAGGAGAAAAACAAGATCAGACAAAAGAGCAGACACACACAAAACATAAGCACAGGAACAAGAGAATCCAAGTATGTAACGATAGGTTGGTGAATATGACCTCAGGGTGCTGCCTTGGGATACCACATCAGCCTGCTGGGACAAAAGCCAAGGCTGTAGAGACTACAAGCCAAAGCTCCTTCCTCCAGAGGGGTTGACAACAGAGTGGCGTTCTGTGCATCCATGTGCCTAGGGGAGATGCCCTCATGAGAGGGTGCTCCCAGCAATTACCCGCTTAAAAGCAGGTGAATTGCGCACATGGGTCACATCCCAAGAGGCAGCTGCCTCATCATAGACCACGAGAGAGGGGTTATGTGGAGAGGTTGGGGTGAGTTAAGGGGAAGACAGTATTTTAGAAGGATAAGGTAAGCTGAGGGATAGGTGGATGATAGTTAGTACTAAGGGTAACTGGGAGAACTAAGGGTATATAGGAGAGGGAGTGTGTAAGATGTATTTCTGCAGGTTTAGGGAATTACACTCTGGGGTTGCTGGGAGAAGGGAGTATGTTCGACAGAGTGACAGCAGGGAAGGCCACAAGAGGCAGGCGGGGAATATTTAGGAGCACTTATGTCATATCTTAAACTGGTGGCTTACCGTGTGGGCGGCCTTGGGACTGAGGACTCTAGGGAACTCCAGGGAATCGGTTGGTCAGGGGCAGATACAGATAATAATCGACAAGGGTTTGGTTGGTATAGCTGGTGGTTTGCTGTATTGAGGGCTTGTCAGATGGTGGACAGGACACAAGGTGAACACCTGAGAACAAGGACTGCTGAAGTGGGTATAGGATGACAAGGATAGACGACTGGTGGCTTCACTATGTGGAGGGTTTAACAATGGGGGACAGGACACAGGGAAAACGCAACACGACAAAGGACTGCTGGGTCGGACAAGGATAATAAGGGGGACAGGTATGGTTGGCAGGACTGGTTTAGGTGGTGTTACTGTGTGGAGGGGTTGTCAGGTGGTTGCGCTACCTACACATGCTTCCGTCCATCCGCTCTTACCCTTCTTTTTCCTCTGATCTGCCTTAACACTGCTACACTCGCTGAGTTTTCTAATATGTTTCTTCAGACCACCGCTCCTATCAACCTTTTCAACACTCTGCTGCTTGCAACACTCTCAAATATTTACTGTGGAGGGAATCTCAAGTGCTCTTCGTGGCTCTCTCAGGTACTCTTTTTGAGACTCAAAAGCACTTCTCCTAAACTCCTTGGCTGTGTCAAGCTAGCTCAGTGTCACCACGCTCAGTGCCTCCTCTCCATGTTCAAGTGCTTATGACCTCAAACAGCTCACTGTGAAATGTTGAAGACCTCAACCCTCACTGTGGATTCTCTTATCTTTATCATTGATGATGCGAATCGAGTTGCTTCCTCCAATCGAGTTGCTTGCTTCAGACTTCAACGCGTTTTCCCGTCGCCCACTGTTAGCTGCAAACTGCTACTGTCACTCCTCTGGTTGCTCCCCACCTTGCCCCGCCACACAGCACCAAACAGCACCAGAACGAAATGCTGGAAGCACCAAAACGCCCTCACTGACCGCTAGCCGGTTAAGAAGACCCGCTTGCTGTCGTTGCTTGAAACACCTTGCCACTTCCGCCCCACCACACAGCACCGCAGAGCACCCCAGAGACGTTGGAAGCACCAAAACGCCCGCACTGACCAGTAACCGGTTGAGAAGACCCGCTGACTGCCGTTGCTCAGAACACCCTGCTTCTAATCCACCACGCTGCACTGCACAGCACCTTGGAGAAATGTAGGAAGCGCAAAAACGCCCACACTGACTGGTAACAGGTTGAGAAGACCCACTGACTGCCATTGCTCAAAACACCCTACAGCTCCTGCTCCACCACGCAGCATTGCACACCACCGCACACCACCCTTGTGATCCGCAACAAAGAAACTGCTGCTAAGAGTTTATCCAAACCTGATCTCTGCCTGCTGCCCAGTCCCCTTCACTGGTCATTGCCTGCTGCTACGTGCCCTCCACTGTTTGAAACCTTCGGTAGCCACTCGCACCCCTGCCCACCACGCAGCACCACACAGCACCAACTTCGACCAAGTAGGAATGCCAAAAGAGCCAAGAGCCAAAACGCCCACACCTGATGGACTAATCGCTGGAAAAATATCCCCTTTCTGCTGTTGCTTGAACCGCTCTGCCACTCCTGCCACTGCATAGTACCACACAGCACCACTTGCATCCCAAAACGAAGAAGTTGCAGCTACTAACCAAGACACTCCCACCTGCTTGCTCCTCAGCTGCCTTCAATAACCATATTAATGTTGCAAACACCCACTGACAGTCTTCCTCTCCTGCCGACCACACAGCCCCGCACAGAACTACAAAGCACCACGCACCACCACCTCCAACCCAGCAAATAAACTAGAATTCCAAATCGCCCACACCTGACCACTAGGTGCCTGAATAACACTCGTTGCTGTTGCTTGGAAAAAGCTCTGCCCCACCACGCAGCACCACACAGCCACAAAGGTCGAATGCAACAGAAAGAAAACTTCCAAAAAACCGGGGCTACCACCTGAACTTCTGCTGCTTCGCACTCTTCGCTTCATAATTGCGGACACTATGGATAACCGCGTCCTCTTCTTCTGCCAACCACCCAGAACCACCGCAAACCACACAGCACCACACAACACCACCTACGACCGACAGAAAAAACTGCAGAGGAAAACAGCCCACACCTGACCGCCGGCTGATCAAGTCGTCCACCCCCCCCTCGTTGCCGCGAGCCCTCAATGCCCCGGCATCCCCCGCCTCTCCTCTCCCTCCCGTCCACACAAAGTAGCACGGTACTAAGAGGAAAACTGCCAGTAGAAAACTGCTACGGCTGCTACCTAGGAAACCGCTACAGCTGGAACCTAGAAAAAAACAACCAACGGAGCCTCTGAGACGACTGGACTACAGACAGTCAATGAGTAATGCAGGGACGTTTGAGGATTGAAAAGAGGTATATTCAACTAAGAACAAGGAGAATGAGAAGGGTGGAAGAACTAAGTGGCTGAGGAGTTGAGCTGAGGAGTCGTATCAGTTAAACAGTGTCCTCTAGATCAATCGAAAACAGTGTCATCAAGCTGAAAGGTGTCAAGTTGAAAATCTGGTCATATTGAGAGATGAAAGGCTCATCTGGATGGTGCGCTCGGTTGAATGTGATAATCCGTTTAGCAGGATTATTGGCTGGAATAAGAAAGTTTTCGGCTGACACGGCAGAGTAGTTAAGGTAAGCAACAATGGCAGGTTGACAGTCAAAACAGTTTGGCACTCAGAAAGGGTTTCAGTTGAGGTAAGAGTATGCCATGCAGATGAGGTGAAAAGTATGGAGACGAAGTGATATTGACTGACTGACGAGTATGCAGGTGAACTGGTGTGATGAGGTTTGATTGAAAAGCACGACGTGACATGATTTGGCCGGAAGAGCAGTATGCAAATGCGGACAAGGTGGGTTTCACCAAACCCGAATATGAGCTGATGTGGTTTGACTGAAGACTGAGGTAGCATGACTTGGCCGAGGAGCAGTATGCAGATGGTGAATATGGTTTGACCAAACCGGAATAGGAGTTGCAGCAATCAGAAGTCCAGCAGAAGGGATTGAGCACAAGGGCGGCTAGAGGCTGAAGACGTTTCAGTAGCAGAAAGGCCAGCAGATGCCAAAACAGAAGGGCAACGGATATCCAGCCACCAGAGCAGCAGCTACAGCTACACAGCATCTCTCATCAGCTTGCCTGTCTTTTCCTGTCTTGAATGAATTCAATCCACCGAGCAATCGACCCGAGGCCTCCTGTTGCATTAGCTCCTGTGAGTAAGAAAAGAAGACGAGACAGGGAGCCTCCACCAACAGCCACCAGCCACCAACAGCCTAGCAGAAGTAGGAACACCAGCTGACATTCAGCAGATACACAAGCAGAGACACCCAGCAGCCACACAGCTTCAACATCAGCTTGCCTGGTTTCATCACAGCTTCCCTCTTCACCAGACCCCAACACGACCCGTACACCACCAGGAAGAGACAAAACGCAGTAACTGCCACCACCACGCCGCCCGCACAGCAACCTTCCGCGATCACAGGTTCCCTCTTCAGCAGACCCCATCAGGGAGAGAGAACACGTCACCACCACCCCGCCCACCACCGCCTATCATCTACCTCTACCGCCAACACAGCAACCCTCCACGATCACAGCTTCACCAACCCAACCATGTTCCCACGAGCAACAGCACCCACAGAACCGAAGACAACAGCACCGAACAGCAGCCCATGTAATCCCAGCAGAAGCAGAAACAGACCTGGATTGCAAAGCAGGAACACACACCATGACGCAGCACTCTTCACGTCTTCAGGTACCCCTCCCAAATCAGCTGCCATAACGTTGACACTTCAGTATCACCCTCACTTGTTCGCTCCAGACTATTCTACCAGGCACCCTTAACCAAACCATCCTCTTGACCTGTCACAGCACACTTCTGATTTCTCACAACCAGCACCATCTAACTCAGCCGCTTCAACGAATCCTATCCTCCCTTCCTCTGCTACCTCCTGAAACCGCTACACTTCACACTGCAAGATGTAGATTCTCACAAAAACCTCTCTACTCCACCACCCTCCACAACCACTTCTGTCACCTCTCACAGAACGTTCCAGACCATAATCAGAATATACCAATAGCCAAGGCCTGACCTACAGCTCCCTATGTCTACCTCGTTCCTCACATGAATCGTTCATCTGCACCTCCTCCACTCCGTGTACTCCATCCCATCTCAAACTCCCACAACAGACGCTAGCCCACTATCAGCCGCTCCACCTGACTCAGCCTGTCCACCTGTCACTACACACAACCGCCTCTAACCGCTCTCTTTCACACTTTTGACACTCCCAATCGCCTTCAACTCGTAACCCCCAACCCGCAACAGAAGACGCGCGCAATGCTCGACTCTGCCCCGCTCGTTCTGTGCCCGCAAGCTCTGCGTGACTCTCAGCCGACACCGTCGCTTGCTTGCAGTGTGTCCCACAGTGTGGTGTCTGTCTATTAGACATCCTTTCAGCCGCACCGTCCGTCCTCCCGTCGTTCTCATCCCAATCACAGCCCGTGGTTGCCCCTATTCAAACGCCAATGCACCCACAGCGTCCGACACTCAAAACCTGTGAAGAATGGAAGCGGGTTTCTCCACTGCAGCCTGTGGTTGTCCCAGCAGACGTGCAGACGCGGCAGCCACCCGTCCCCGGACGCCCCACACCCGTCCGCCGCGCACTCATCCGCCGTGCGCCACTCGCCTCCGCACCATGCGCCAGTTGCCCCCACACCATGCGCCATTCGCCTCCGCACCATGCGCCAGTTGCCCCCACACCATGCGCCATTCGCCTCCGCACCATGCGCCAGTTGCCCCCACACCATGCGCCATTCGCCTCCGCACCATGCGCCAGTCGCCCCCGTACCAGTCTTGTTCCCGTACTCGTTTCCCATCCGTCCCATCATCACTTCAATCTGCACGACAATGGGGTTTGGCGTTGCAGCCTGAGGTTGTCCCAGCAGACGTGCAGACGCAGCAGACACACGCGCCCCAACCCCGTCCGTCCTGCGCCCAACCGCCATGCGCCCATACGCCGCGCATCCTTCCGCCTTACACCCGACCGCCTTCCGCCCATACGCCGCGCGCACCCGTCCGCCGCGCACACGTCCCGTCACCACCGCGCCCATCACCACTGCGAGTCCCGTCCCATCACCGAGCTCAGCACATTTTTCCACCGCGAGTGTCGTTCATTCTGCATTCCTGTCTGTCTCACAAAACACGCGCAGTTGCAGCACACATTCGCCCTCGCCCGCTCAATCCCGTCCCCGCTCGCCAATTGTCCACCAACCGAACGCCCGTCACCGTGCACCCACCCGCGCCCACACCGATGTAGTCGTCCCAGCAGATCCTCGCTGTCGCTCGCACAATCCCGTCACTGAACTCCCGTCCACCATACACCCATCCGCGCCCGTACCGTTCTGGTGGTTGTCCCAGCAGCCGAGAAGATAAACGCTGCAGACAAACGCACTAGCCTCTCGATAATCTGCAAAACGAACTGCGCTGTGTCTTGCCGTAACGGACCCAAGGTTGTCCCAGCAGACGTGCAGATACCAGACACACGCGCGTCGCTCCATCTCAACCGTGTTCGCCACAAGTCTCTCACCACCCGCTGTTAGCCACCCGCCCACCGAAGTACCTCGCCCCACCCGCGCGCTCGCCAACGCAGATAATGGTGACCCAGCAGAAGTACAAAAGTGCCCCCGTGCCGAAGTGCCCACGTGCCGAAGTTCCCCCGTGCAGGAGACCCACGTGCCGAAGTGCCCCCGTGCAGAAGACCCACGTGCCGAAGTGCCCCCGTGCAGAAGACCCACGTGCCGAAGTGCCCCCGTGCAGAAGACCCACGTGCCGGAGTTACCCCGTGCAGAAGGCCCATGTGCCGAAGTGCCCCCGTGCAGAAGACCCACGTGTCGAAGTGCCCCCGTGCAGAAGACCCACGTGCCGAAGTGCCCCCGTGCAGAAGACCCACGTGCCGAAGTGCCCCCGTGCAGAAGACCCACGTGCCGAAGTTACCCCGTGCAGAAGGCCCACGTGCCGAAGTGCCCCCGTGCAGGAGACTGCAGGAGACCCACGTGCCGAAATGCCCCCGTGCCGAAGTGCCCCCGTGCAGAGGTGCCCACGTGCAGAGGTGCCCACGTGCAGAGGTGCCCACGTGCAGAGGTGCCGAAGTGCAGAAGTACCAACGTGACTACGTCCTGCCAAAGTGCGAAGTGCCCCTGTGCCAACAGCAAAAGCGCAGACGAAGTCGTGCGTACCACTCCAGCCCACATCCAGCGAGTTTGTCTCTTCAAAAACCTGCAAAGACAAGGGGATTGGGTGGGTGTCTCCCGTTGCAGCCCTGTTGTCCCAGCAGACGTGCAGACAGCAGCCACTCGCCACTCGTCAATCCCGCTCGCGTTCGTTCTTGCCCGCGTTTCCAGTCCGCACAACTGCGCTCGTCACCCGCACGCCCCCCCGCGTGCACCCTCGCGTGTCTTCCCATTGTAGCAGCACACTTTATCCTGAAGCCGTGGCGACAGCAGAAACCCGCGCCTCTCACACTTGTCGCTTTCATACTTCCTTCTCACGACCTGCAAAGAAAAGGGGATTGGGTGGGTGTCTCCCGTTGCAGCCCGCGGTTGTCCCAGCAGACGTGCAGACAGCAGCCACTCGCCACTCCATCCCACTCGCGCTCGCGTCCGACCGATTTTCCCTCCACACCCGCTCGTCGCCCGCACGCCCCAACACGTGCATCCTCACGCATCTTCCCATCCGCTCGCGTTCACATCCAACTGCTTGTCCATCCGCGCACCCGCTCGCGACCCGCACGCCCCCGCGCGTGCACCCTCAAGCGTCTTCCCGTTGCAGTCGAGAAGACGGCAGACATACGTGCGTCCCTCTCTCACGTCGCTCGCCCTCCACAGACCGCACTGTCACTTCCTTCTACTGCCTTCTCAAAGGATGACCTGCAAGAAAAAAGGGGTTGGTGGGTGTCTCCCGTTGCAGCCCGCGGTTATCCAGCAGACGTGCAGACAGCAGACACACGCCACTCGATTCCGCTCCCGTTCGCGTTCGCGTTCACGGTTTCCCGTCCGCATGCCCGCTCGCCGCCCGCACGCCCCCCGCGTGCATCCTCACGCGTATCCCCATCCGCCCGCGTTCGCACTCGCCCGCGCCCGCGTTTGCATTCGCCCAGTTCATCATCCGCGCAACCGCTCGTAACGTCGCCCCACACCCTTGCGCGTTCATCCTCGTGTGTCTTCCCATTGCAGTCAAGCAAACGGCAGACACACGCGCGTCCCTCTCTCACATCGCTGGACCTCCATGGATCGCGCTTCATACTTCCTTCTCACGACCTGCAAGAAAAAGGGGGTATGGTGGGTGTCTCTCGCTGCAGCCGGCGGTTGTCCCGGCAGACGTGCAGACAGCAGACACACACGCGCGCGCGTTGCCCTGCGCCAACCTCCCCCCGCCGACGTCTCGCTCGCTCGTGCCCTGCACCGCCTTTCACCACTTCCGTCTCCGCTCGCGTCCTCCCGCCAACGCCCACGGTTGACCCAGCAGACGTGCAGAAGGCAGACGCGCGCCACTCAATACCGTTCCTCGCCCCACTCGTTCGTTCATCGTCCCTGAGTGTTCTTTTGAAACGTCTTTGCGTGTTTGTTTCTTCATCCTGCAAGAAAGGGGGGGTGCGTGTGTCTCGTGGTGCAGCCTGAAGTTGTCCCAGCAGACGTGCAGACAGCAGACACACGCGTCGTTTCTGATTCTCCCGCTCGCTCGTTTCTCGCCAAGAACTTCGCTCCACCTCCGCACGCGTCTTCCCATCAGGGCCCGCGGTTGTCCCAGCAGACGCGCAGACAGCAGACGCACGCCACTCCGTAACGCCGTACACGCCCCTCACGCGTTCACCACTCGAGCCCGAACCCTCGTGTCTTCCCATCAGCGCCCGCGGTTGTCCAACGGACGTGCAGACAGCAGACACGCGGCCTCCCATGCAGAGCGTTCGCTTCTCAACCTGCAAACGAAAGGGGAATCGCGAGTGTCTCCTGTCGTCGCCTGTGGTTGCCCCAGCAGACGTGCAGCCAGCAGACACACGCGGCACTCGCTCGCGTTCGCGTTCGCGTTCGCCCGCACACCCGTGTTGCAACCATCCGTTCTTCCCAGCAGCCACACAACCGCCAGTTTCTGCCTCCTCATGTGTCGTCCCGCCACAGCCGGTGGTTCTTCACGCAGCCGTGCGTGAAGCAGACACATGGCGCGCCAATAGTTGTTCATGCCCCGTCCAACACCCCGCACTTGGGCCCAAAAGTTTAACCTGCAAACACGAACGCCTTTCATGTGTCTTCCCTTCGCGGCCGGTGGTTCTTTACGCAGCCGTGCAGACAGCAGACACATGGCGCGCCGATTGCTTGTGTTGTTCCGTCCGTTCAGCACCCCGCGCTAACCACCCCTTGTCGACTCGCTTGCGTTCGTTCAGCAGAAATTGTTGACCCGACAGACGCACCCCGACAGCAGAAGGCTTGTCTCAGCAGTGCAGCCTACCCTCTTCCCAGCACGCTCTCTCCCTGCCCTGGACGCACAGAATAGCACGGAGCAACACACAGCAACGGCAAGAGCCAACAACAACCACCTGCCTAGTCTCCTCCCTATCCCATTAGCACCTACAGTTTGAGAAAGCACAAGCAAGAGGAAAGCGGACTAGAACTCTGCAAAACTCATTGTCTGATATATACGCTACGGCCTGGAATAGCACACCGACATAAAACTCACTATCTGGTATGTGCGCAACAAACTAGAACTTCAGGGCACACAAACACAAACCTCCAGACACACCGTTACAGGACAGGCGGAGTCTACTCGGAACGAAGGGCGACAGGCAGTAGACGTGTAGACGGCAGTAGACGTGTAGACGGCAGTAGACGTGTAGACGGCAGTAGACGTGTAGACGGCAGTAGACGTATAGACGGCAGTAGACGTGTAGACGGCAGTAGACGTGTAGACGGCAGTAGACGTGTAGACGACAGCAGACATGTAGACAGCAGACGTGTAGATGGCAGTAGACGTGTAGACGGTAGTAGACGCGTAGACAGTAGTAAACACGTAGACGGCAGTAGACGAGTGGCCGGACGAGTAGACGGAGGTAGACACGTAGACGGAAGTAGACACGTAAGCAGAAGAAGACGAGCAGAGGGAAGTAGACACGTGCAGACCGAGGTGACGGAGGTGTTAGAAGCAAACACACGAAGAGCGCGGGCGGGGAGAAGACGCAGGTAGAGATGGCGCAGGGCGGGTAGGGATGACGCAGGGAGAGTGAGGGCAAGAAGAGCGGCACATCAAAGCAGCCTGGACGGGGGGGTTGACTGGCAGGGGAAGAGACCCGGAGACAACACAGGTAATGGGGCCAGGGGGGCCCGGGGGAGGGGAGGGGAGGGGACGAGGAGGAGGAGCACCAACCACAACAGTCAAGGAACGCCTAAGAGGGAAGGGAAGAAAAAGGAGAAACGCACTGCTGGATCAAACCACAAGCCCAGGGACCTTGGTGGAGAGAAAGCGAGAGCAGAGGCGGCAGGGGAAGCGTACGAGACCGCAGAGGAGCGCAGGGATGAAGCAACGGTTGGGAAACACGTGGCAGTAGCTAACGCGACGCAGGAAGCTTAGCAAACCAGGAGCGCGAGCAGAGGCGGCGGAAGAAGAGAAGAAAACTTAGGAGCACAACCTGCGGGAAAGCAACGAGGGGAGGCTACAGGAGGAAGGAAGAGAGAACAAGTTATGGGCCCAGGGGGGCCCAGGGAGGGGGAAGGGGGAGAGAGGGGAGCGCCAACCAGGAGAGGGACCAAGGCAAGGAAGACAAGCCAAGAGCACCGACGTCTAGAGCATTGACGAGGACTGGAACACTAAAGAGTCACAACGGTTGGGGAACCTTAGGAGTAGCAACGAGGCTGAACGACAAGGGACGGCCAAGGGACCAAGGGAGAGATGGAGGAACGCGGCCTGTGGGGGCGAGAGCGGTGTGGCTTGGAGAGCAAGGGAAACAGACACAGGTTATGGGGCCAGGGGGCCCGGGGGGGGGAGGGGGGGACAGGAGCGGGGAACGCCAACGAGGAGGCTAGGAGGACTCGACGCAACAAGACGATGGACGGAGCTGCAATGG